GAGGAGAAAGATTGACAATTGTCCTTATGAGAGAGGAGTGGACCTCGTTTGTTCACAGAATAGAATTCGGTACAAAGCCATAAATCACATCATGTAGTCAGGTGCCAAGAACTACAATAATGCAAATATTTCATCTCCAGGACTACTTGTTTTATGAATATTCATGATCACTGTTCATATAAATTAGTTCTGTATTTCACATGAGATATGAGCACTGGAGAGATTTTTCAAAATTAAATATATGAATGCATGTATTTAAATGTTGTCAAGTTTGGCTGGCAAGTACTAGCGCATTCATTTAACATTACTGACAGGTACAAAAGCATAAAGGATTTTAAGAACATTGGAATAACGTCTGTACCTAATAACTGACTATCTACCCGGATAGGCAAAGCAATCTGTATTTGTCCCAATTAATGCTGCATTTTTCACTTTCCAACTCTTGGGAAAGCTAGAAACTAGATCCAACTTAAAAAAAGAACTCCTGTATGTAAAAAAAAATCAATAATTGATACTAAATCCTCAAATATAATCAGGCAAGCCATATAATTCATTAGTTAATACCTCAACCTTACTTCTGCTATAATTTTGTTGTTATTCAAACATGCATCACATGTTCATCGTTGTTTTGAAGGAGTCAGTCATCGGCAGCTTGTGGGCCAGCCACGCTTTGAGCAAAATAGAACTTAGTACTCAACTAATATTCATTCAGGTACAACATTATTTTAAAGCTGTGATTAAGTTTTGTATTCAAACTTAAGGTAACAAATGCAGAATTAAAGATGGTAGCAAATCAGGAACTGTGTGCGTTACTTGGGCATCTTTATGTAAGTAAATGGATTTTTTTAAAGAAAGAATATTACTTCAAATTAAAACAGTAAAGTTGGGCAAAGGGCATACATTTAAAATAGGTGAAAACTATTAATAAGACCAAGGCTTGTTTACTTGAAATGCTAAATGTTAGAAATAATCTTCCAGACTGCCATATAGTCAAAAATGTTAGGGCATTCAGAATGCAAGTAGATCCTGCAATGGAAGAGTTAAGGAATTAGATGAATATTAATAGACTGAACTGTGTTTACTGCCACTTGACTTTTCTTGGGTTTATCTGAAATAAGGCATTTTGTTTTAGACCATGGTGGTGTACAGAATAGCCTTTGTATTTTCAGTCTAATAATGCATGTAACTGGATTTATTGTGCTGCACATTCACTGGTATAACTAGGATCACATAGCAATTGAGTGGAGGAGGCCTGATGTGTTGTTGCAAAGGAAGTATGCCAGTGTGTTCAAGGAATGGGAGGACATACATTTTAAGGCAACCGTAAGATTCTGTGGGAGTTATAGTGATTAATTTTGAGAGTTTTTTTTGGAGCTGAGTTTATTGGACATAGTCAATCTGCATCAAGATGTCTTTGACATCTGCCTGGGAGGCTAAAACAAATCTGTAATTAATATATTTTCAGATTAATAATTTGGTAAGTGTGACCTATAAATGGTTTTTTATTGTTCAATTTCATCTGGCTGTTTCTCAGGGAAATAAGTGTTATGGGGTTAAATACTTCAACAGATGGAGAAGTATGAGAAGGCTTGCCTATAAATGAAATGATACAGTTCATGTTACTAAATGCGTATTGAAAGTGATGAGATGCAGTCAGTTTGAAATATTTCTTGTATACTTACTGTTCTAGTAATGGTGTTGGTCTCAACCACCTGTAAAGATATTATGTGAGAAAACAGTAATTGTTCTTTTTGTTTCAGAATTGCAACACATGATCTCAACCTCTCGGGTATGTACTGTTCTGGTAAGGTCTTCCATGACATTACTCAGTTAGTCAAAGGACGTACTTGAAGTTTGATATCTGAAGTGGGACTGGATATGTTTACAGGAAGTATGCACTGTGCACAGCTGTTTACTGTTTCTGCACTTCTCAAAAAAAAATTAGGGGTTTATCTTTGTTTAACTGTCTTTTGAAGAACTCTTAATTGTGCCTTGCTATGTTCTTTGTCGAGATTACAAAATGTGTTATAGATTGGCCAGAAACCAGTGACTGTTTCAATTAAGGTCAAGAAAATGTAAGATTCGAGGTTGTTACCAAGAGAGTAAAATCAACAGATTCCATGACTTTAGTGCCTGAACCATGCCCACCCCCTACAGAACATATCAAATTGCAGATGCTGTCAGACATTTGTGTCACTGTGGCTCGCCAAATTTCATTAAAACCTTGCTTCTGTACAGCTGCCGTTATGATATGCCATGCTTGTCTGCCTTGTATCATTTAGATGGATCCACTGTAGCTCATCCCTGATCACTCTGTGACATCCATCTTCCAACTATCACTAAGTTGTCCGGTCTTTCTGCCGCCCTTCCCTTTACATCTCTGTAGTATTTCAGCTCTGACTTGATCTACAGAATTCCCTCAAATGCTTCTCCAACTTGTATTGCCTCAATGACTAGTCGTGTCTTAAAATAGTTCACACTCTTTCCCCGAGACTGCGTTTCAATGGATTCCTAAGCCTGCCTTCCAGCAAATACTCATGGCCACAATAGCCATTCCTTTCAGACAGCTGCCTTCACTAAGCTGATACTAGCCCTGATGTTTCTCCAAACCTGAATGTTTTTATGTAGAGCTAAGCAAATACTGCTTGTGGTGTTCCTTTACCTGTCTTTCAGCTGCTTGAACAGTAAATGGCTTCTAGAGACTTCTGTATAATTGCCTAGCGTTTACTAACAACAGCACTTGCTGCCTGAAGCTATTCATTTGCTTCAGCACTGTCCCTTAATCTCTTTAGCACAAACAATGTCTCCTGACATATATACCCTCAGATAAATTGAAACCAGAGAACCACCTTAAGATTCATCCATCTCCATGATAATGTAGCCTCCTTGTAGCTCATGGCTTTTACAGTTTTTCAGAATTCGCTGAATGCTCTTGTTAATTTAACTTTAACTCCCACAACAAACAATCTCTCTGAACTAACATTCCTGCAAGCAGTGTAGACACTGTGTCTCCAGCTAAGAAAGCCGCTTGTTGATTTCATAGCCCTATGTTTTCTATTCTAATTCTAGTAAACCTTCCGAACTATCATTTGTTTTTGGCTTTCTGTCAATCTCTAAAGCTCACCATTTTAATGACTTTGCCTTACCATCTGTTAACATCATAAGCCATATGAACTCAACCTTTTAAATACATTAGATTTCAAGATGCTTTAGTTGTTTTAATCCTACTTTCTACTATAAACATTGCATTTATAAAACTAAAATCTATAACTATAACACACAGTCAATGAACTAGCTCTTCACATCATGTAGTTACAAATTGTTGCAAATCAGTTAGAATTTTCACTGTCACATTTCCTGCATTCAAATAACAGATGGATTATTAATTTTACCATGAATACTTTACACCAGTTTAATTTTTTAAATTAGTTTTAATGGATCTATCGAGCACCTTTAGGATAAATAGCTTAATTCATTTGTGTTGCTGTATTTTTCTGCACTGTGAATTATTTTTATCTTCATATATAATAAAAAATTCAGATTAAAAGATAATCAGATCTTTAGAACTTTAAATTTTATTTTCAGCAGCCTACCATACCTTTAGTCTAAAGAAATGGAAACCTCAACAACAGAAACTATCCTGATCACTGGCGGGGGAGGTTATTTAGGATATAGGTAAGATAAGTCATTGCGTGACATGAATCAAATACTGTGCAGACACAAGGCTAATGACTTAAAATTTTATTTGAAAGTGGTACAGTTAATCAGTAAATTTATCATGGTATTTATCTCTTAGGCAGTTACCTTCAAATTGTGGCCATAAATCCACAAACATTGCAGCAGTATGCTCTGAAGTTACTGTTCCATCGGAATTATTTGCTTTGGGGGTTGGTTGGCTCAGTTTTCTGGCTGGCTGGTTTACCATACGGAGTGATGCAAACTGTGTGCGTTCAATTCTCACACTGGCTGCAGTCACCATTGAAGGACTGTCCTTCTCAATCTCACCCTTCGCCTGAAACATGTTGACCCTCACGTTAAACTGGCACCAGTCATCTCTTGAAGAGAGCAGCCCGATAGTCCAGTAGGACTATGGTATCTTTAGCTTTACCGTTACTTGTTTTTATAAACTCAAACAGCAAATTAATTGATGAAACAAACTAGATAGTCTGAAGCGAATATATGTCATTAACAGGGAAGAGTACAAAAGTCGTATGAAATGGAAAATAATTCACTATTAGACTCCTCTGATCATTGATGTCTTTCATGTAAAATGTTTAATAATTGTCAGTCCACCTCCTGAATTATGTCAGAATTCATACCACTATTTGACTTGATTTTTTTTGGCTGTTTGGATTTCAAACAGTTTAAAACAGCTGTAATATCATCAGGGGAATATTGCATTGTTTGTGCTGTAAACAGGCCCATAGTGTTCTTGTAATGTAGTGCACAAGTTAGAAATATAGGGCTTGCCATATGGTATGTTTTTGTAAACTTGGGTTTTCCCTTACCACCTGTGATTCTCCTCAAATTGTGATTAACTCCTTTTCTTTTCTTCTTTATTATCTCTTTTATTTCATTCAGAGTTCAGAATCTTGAGGAATTTATATTACAAGTGTCCAAAATCTGGTTGTCTGAAAATTGGATATTTTTGGTATTCAATTACATCTCTTAATTTCATAACTCCCAAGTTTATCTTGCTATAGCAATGATAACTACTGGTAAAATAAGTCTGTAATAAAATATTTTCTCAGGAGATTTGCCACTGTTCTTGGAACACAGTAAGTACAGGAATGAAGAGTCCATTCTCTGGCTGATTCCAGAGGACAGAATCAGTGAGAGTTATAGACATATAGGAGGGGGTCAGCAAGCTGATTTGTGATGCATAGTGACACCAAGAGCACTGGTTCAATTCCCATATTAGCTGAGGTTGCCATGAAGGTTCTCTGTCTGTCTTTGTTCCTTGCTCTGTTTTACTCTCTCTCTCTCTCTCTCTCTGTGTCTGTCTGTCTGTCTGTTGCTCTCACTCTCACTCTCTCTGCCCCACTGTCTGTCTCTTGCACACTTCCTCTGTCTCTGTCTCTGCCTCTGCTTCCCTAATTCAGGCATGTGTTTAAATACTCCCCCACTTCCCTGGATAGGTGCAGCTCCAATAACTCTCAAGAAGCTTGATGCCATCCAGGTCAAATCAGTCTGCTTACTAGGCACTGCATTCATTCCCTCCACCAACAACCCTCAGCAGCAGTGTGTACTATCTACAAGATGCAGCGCAGAAATTCATCAAACATCTTTTGACAGCATCTTCCAAACTTACAAACACTTTCATCTAGAAGGATAAGGGCAACAGTTATATGAAATCACCACCATCTGCAATCCTAGAATTCTCTAAGGGCTTTCTGGGTCTTCCTACTGTATATAGACTGCAACAGTTCAAAAAGGCAGGTCACCACCGCCTTCTCAAGGGCAGCTAGGGACAGGCAATAAATCTTGTGAATGAATATGGAAAAAAAAAACCACCACAATTTTCTCCAGGCAAAATTGTAGTAGCAGAATAGGGTCAGGGATTCTCTCTGCTTTTGATTTTAATGTTCCTGTCTGCTTTCAAGTCCCATGTGAAATATCTGGGAAAATTCAAAATCCATCATTAGCTGCCGAACTTTAAATATGGTACAACATGATACAGATTCTTTCTGCTTTTGTTGCTACACTTATAGCACACCTTCAAGGTTTAATGAATTGGGTAATCCATGCAGGAAAAGTATTCACTTGCTCCAATGAGTAACTGAGCTATACAGATGAGAGGCACCATTGTTCTGTTCTAATCTCATTACAAATTTTTGCAGAGTTTTGTAATTGTCTCCAGGATCCTGGAGACAGTCATCTAAGGCTCCCAATTCCATCAGTAGCCCTTATTGGAAAAATGTATATAGATGTTAGATTAGCATGGATTCAAAATTGGCTGGAATGTTTCCTTTGGTCAAAAAGCCTCACGTTAAGCTTGGTCATCCAGCTGGAGTGTTGTAGATTGCCTAGACCTGTGAAACTGAACCTTAATGAGAAATCAGAGGTTTTTAGGAAAGGGAAATCAAAAAACAAATTGGCATGTGCCTGTTTTCTTCTTTTAAATGATGACTGCCTCAAGAGCTGGAGTAACAGTATTCAAGAGGGAATTGGCTATGTTGGAAAGGGCAGAAATTTGTAGGGTTATAATGATAGGGGTGTGGAAATAATTTGATAGTTACAGGCACAAAGTATTGCTTTTATTTCTTTCAATGGTTTTTTTTTCCCTTTTATGGGAAATAACCTTTCTATCTATTTTATTAACTTGGCTTTTTTGAAGAAACTTAGGGCATAAGCCATGGTTTTTTAATGAGAACTATTATTTCTTATTAATTTATGAGAAAATTGGTATTAGAATTTGAACAACCTCTTAGATTTATGCACAGTTTGGAATCGTCTTTAATAATACAGCACCTTCTGAATCCCCAGATGCATAACCTTCTGGAAATCAAATGCCTACCTTAGACTAACCCCATAATTGAAATTACATACTGATGGTTGGTTCAAGCTTGCTGGGAACATTCTAATTATTTTGATGGATGTTTTTGTAATATATTGTGTCATTTTCTTGTATAAGTAATCTGTTTTACAGGTAGTCTGTCAGATTGTACGTACACAGTGTTGGGAGGTAATGAGCAGTCAGGAAGGTACGAGGTGAGGTGGAACCTTCAGTACACAAAAGTTTAGATTGGAACAGTTCTGGTAGAGCTGTCTTTTCTTACTTTGAATTTGTCTTAACTTTGAAGCATTCTTTCAGTTTTAGTCAGTGTCTTCATCTAGGAATGTGACTCCAGGTCAAAGAATCCTTCATTGACCTTAGAGCAAATTGGGATGGTCTGAGGTCATGGGAGATGCTGTACAACTGCTCGTTCTCCGTTGCCCACCCTCATTCCCAGACGCATGCTCTAGAACTGGACTCGTGGTGACGATGAAAAATAGCAGTGAACCCCAGTTAGGTATTTGTTATAAGGCCGCAGCTTTCCGAGTCATTTTCTGATGCTAGCATACAGTTTATCAGATTTATTGAACCAGCTATGGGATTTTGTACACATGACTTGTGAAACATGATTCCAGGAACATAGCCTGCATTGTAGTTACAATTGTAATGATTTTCTAACTATTTTAACTACTTTTGCCCAACAGAATACAGGAAAGTTTAGATGAAATGTAAGCATATGTGCATGTTTATGTATATTTAATGCAAATAACAGCATGAAAAATATTTTTTCACAATACATCTATACCTTTGTGAGGGCAGTTAGGGATGGGCAATAAATGCTTGGCTAGACTGTCGTGTGAACGAATTAAAGAAAAAAGTTAGAGCCTACAACACTGTAACAGACTTTTTGTCCCATCTGGCTTATGCCAGTGATTACGCTACACACAAGCCTTTCTTTTTCTCTTCACCCCCCAACTTCTGTTCAAACCCCAAACAGGAAGCCTTTCTATAACTTTTTCCCTGATGTGATTAATATTTTCTTTGTTTGGCATAAGGTAGTTTGGGAGCTCTTTGTATTAACTTTTTAATGCATAAAATGTAGTGTACAGTTCAGTAAACTAACTAAATATGTTTAACATCATAAAGCTACGTGGTGAAATGTGAATGTAAAGAAGTAGCTTCTTGTAATGTGTAATGCTTTGCTTGTTATCTTTTTTGTTTCAGGTTGGGCTGTGCCCTGCACAAACTGGGCAGAAGGGTGATCCTCTTTGATATCCACAAGCCCATTCAGCATGTGCCTGATGCAATAATGTTTGTAAAGGGAGATATTTGCAACTACCAGGAAGTTGACCATGTAGTAAGGAATGTAGATTGTGTTTTCCATTTAGCTTCATATGGCATGTCGGGGAGGGAACAACTAAATAAAAAACTAATAGAGGACATCAATGTTAGAGGGACAGAGCATGTGATCCAGGCCTGCCTGAACAATGGGATATCAAGACTGCTTTACACAAGTACATATAACGTTGTGTTTGGAGGCCAAGTAATTAAAAATGGGAATGAATCTCTACCTTATCTTCCGCTGCATCTTCATCCAGATCACTACTCGAGGACTAAATCTTTAGCAGAGATGAAGGTGCTTCAAGCAAATGGAACAAAGCTAAAGAAAGGCTCTGGTGTTTTACACACCTGTGCCCTACGTCCAGCAGGCATTTATGGACCTGGTGAGCAAAGACATCTTCCCAGAATAGTTAGTTATATAGAGAGTGGACTGTTCAAATTTTTGTATGGAGCAGCAGATAGTTTGGTGGAATTTGTCCATGTTGACAACCTTGTTTCTGCACACATACTGGCATCAGAAGCTCTGACAGGAGGAAAAAATTACATTGCTGGTGGCCAAGCTTATTTTATCTCTGATGGCAAGCCAGTGAACAACTTTGAATTTTTCAAACCATTAGTAGAAGGCCTTGGATATAAATACCCCACAATTCGGCTGCCACTTGGACTGGTCTATTTTGTTGCTTTCCTCACTGAAATCATTCATTTTTGTATAGGTGGCATTTATAATTTTCAACCATTTTTGACTCGCACAGAAGTTTATAAAACAGGAGTCACTCACTACTTCAGCCTGCAGAAAGCTAGGAAAGAACTAGGGTACAACCCACAGGAATATAATCTTAGTGAAGTAGTGGAGTGGTTCAAAACACGTGGTCATGGGCGGAAGGTAACTGGGTACAATATTAAATGCTTTACATGGGATGTAATTTTTTTAATGTTGCTGTCTGCTGTTATCATGTCTTGGATTCCAGTAGTTTCAGCATAGTGATCTATGTAATTTGTTTCATTTGACATTCCTCACTGCCTGGCCTCCAATTGGGATACCTTGAAAATAGAGGCTACAGCCTGAGTGTCAGTATGTTACCACATCTCCAGGAATTAACCAGACTACACTACACATGACAAACCAAGGTAGAAACGTCTGGTTTAGTTTCTAAGTTGTCTAAATGTGGCCCCTTTATTGGCAAGATCTTTATTTTGGTCAGTTACTTTGTTAGGCAAACGAATAAGGGAAATTTAAAGAAAGCTTTGAGCACATAGCACAGAAGACAATACAGTGGTTGTCGTATCCTCTATTCTTACAATCTTCGATTGTCTGTTAGGCACAAAGATGAGACGAAATCCTTAATGATCTTTTAAACCCAAAGACATCTGGGACAATTTTGATTATATAATAGAGGTGATTCACAATAGGTAAGTTTGGAATTACCTTTATCCTCCAGAATGCGTTGAGAGTAAGAAACCGATGTCACCATACTGATGGGAGGCAATATTTCATTGGTTTAAATCCTTATTTCCTTTTGATTTTGCCTGTAAAGTTTAGGATAAACATTAAAATTAAGTGTTAAAGATGAATTGAAAGGTTTTTTTTGTCACTGAACTACAGGATACTGTTAAACAGAGTGTTAAAGCAAGTACAGCAAACATTTTATTAACTGGCACATATGGGACCAGGAGTGTGCCGGTTCATCAAGAAGTCCACATATTCAATGTAAAAATGCACGGTAATAGAACCGTAATGCAGGTGGTATGCACATCACTGTTAAGCTTTATTTGCAGCATAAATTACTTAAATAATAACGTGACTTTGCCTTAAATAAAACTTATCGGCAGAGAGCCTTCTTACTCGTAGCCTGAACTAACTACTTGGACATCGCAATAATACAGTAAACTTCCAGTATTTTAGGAATTTTGTTTTGCTGATTTGTCTAGAGTGCCGGTTAAAACAAAATTTTCTGTATTTGGAGTTAACTCACTAAATGGATAAAAGTAGGGAATTAAAGACATTATTTGTATTCTGATCCTTCTGTGGAGATACACCATGAAGCACTTTACTGTTCATACTGAAACTTGCGTGAAATAGTTTAAGTGGTTTGAAGGTTAAATTACAGTTAAATTCATGCTATAATCGTAGGAGTATCTTATTCTCTAAAGCAGCATGACATTAAATGATGACATAAATTATGATAAATGTGGTAATATTTTCTTTTACCATTTCTGCATGCCTCAGTGTTTCTGATCATTACTATTTGAAGCTTTTTTTTAATGTAGAGGAAAATTGTGGCTGTTTTGCACCAGTAGATGAAGTGCCAGCCAGGCTTTGATTTTGGAATAAGGATATTAGGGCAAACAGGGAGATTCTTATACACTGGTGGCATGAGTTCCTTGTCCAAGAGCAGGAAAATAGGAACTGCAGCAGTACAGCGCTCACCCAAAGCTACACACAGTGTAGATTGAGCTCAAATTATGATCAGGAGGTTTTTGTCCCCTTCAGAGAGATAAGAATGTGACTTGAGGCAAACTAACATGTTGCCAAAAATAAATGATTGGTTAGCCTGTATTGAGTAGCCCTCCTTCAATCTTCCTTGGTCACAGATGCATGAACTTAAATTTATACTTAATCACATACCTGTAGTCATGTGCTTTAAAATTGAGAAAAAGAATTCAGCTAGTTTAACAGTGAGAGACATACTGAGAAAAATAAAGCTTATTTAATATAACACATTATATTACCTGAGTAATAGGTTTTGGATAATTCTTTAGGTTTTTATCTGATATTGCAAATCATGTAGCTATTCTGCTGAAATATGCATAATGGATATTGGTCTTCTTCAGATCTTATTTTAAATTTGAAGTAATTTCCTGCAAATCAGTTGTTAACTAGAAATAATGAAATTGAGATGGTGCCCATATAAATGTGCACAATTGGTGCACCACTGAGTTGAAATAGAACACTATTTTAAGAGTAATCATTTAAAGATCTGCTTCTTTGGTGTACTAAGCTTAATATCGTTTGTGCAGATGCAGTGCTGTAATTTTTTACTGTGATTTGCAAAAGTGTAACCTTTGTTTAGTGTTCTGGTGTAATGGTAGTTTTTTTTAGAAAAAGCCTTTTTTAACTAATAAATATATCCTTTGGACAGAATCTGTTACGATAAATTTAATGTACGTGAATATCTTAAAGATGCCTATTTAAATAGTAAGTTCCAGCTAACCTTTTAAAGTGTTTTATGTATGATACTTAAATGACAAAATTAAAAAGAAATGAAATGATTTTGATGTTCTATGGGGTCTAATCAGTAGATTGAATTCTTCATTCAAAATAAATTGAAAAACCCTTCTTTTAAATGTGCATGCTTTCTCTTTCGCAACAACACCTTATGTTTAATCTAAAAATCTCTAACAGATGGTCCTACCATAAAATAATCTCTACTGTGGTTGGTTCGCTCACCGAGCTGGTCTGTTAATTCACAGATATTTCATTACCCTGCTGGGTAACATAATCAGTGCAGCCTCTGATGAAGTGCTGTTTAGTTTTTCTGCCTGGTATTTAAACTCTGGGGTCCACTGGAATTGATTACCTCATTTCTGGTTTTCCTTTGCAGTGGTGTATGTATAGGATCCAGTTCTATGTGTTTGTTGATGTCCTTCTTGGTGGAGAATCAGGCCTCCAGGAATTCCCGTGCTTGTCTCTGTTTGGCCTGTCCTAGGATCCTGGTGTTGTCCCAATCAAACTGGTGGTTCTCCTTATCCATGTGAATGGAAATGAGTGAGTATTGATCTCCATTCACACAGAACCAACTAGCAACAAAAAGACATGACCAAAACACAACAATGAAGGAATGTGTAAGCCATTTGTCTCATAAGCTGTTATCTTCTAACACAAGATATCCAAGATTTTTAAATCTTTCTTTCATATTTGCATTTCTACAAACCAGCTTTGTATTCTTTTCAAGTGCATCCTACACTCTCCGACCTATACTTTAAAAGTCCTTCATTTGATGTGAAATGCATTGTGGTGACCTTAAGTTATGAAAAGCAGTATAAATTGACCTTTTTTTCCCCGTTCTATATCTTTTGGTGTTCAAGCCAGCACTGTACATAATTAGTTGAGATCGATACCAATGTTATTTTAGAAAAGAGTCACATCAGACTTGAAACGTTAACTTCTCCAGCGTCCACAGTACCTTGCTTTAAGACAATTAAGATCCAATTCAGATTTTCTAAATCTTCATTTGTCTCCTTGCGTTCACTTTCATGAAATCAAAATTTCACTTAGTTTTACAATGGGACATCCTTGCTGGTATTGTTAAGGGTGCTACACAAGGCATTGCCCTGCTTTCTTTTTATAAAGAGTTAAAGCATCAGTTCAGCTGCCTGCATCATGAGTGCAGCAGTAAATTGAAGCAGGAAATGTTCTGTTTTTAATGAGCTGTTAGGTGATTGTAATAGCCAGCATTATTTACTTTTTGCTGTGTATACCCTACATACACTATTGATGCGTCCTGTGCAGTTGGAAATTCTTGAAAAATTTGTTCCACATACTCATGTAATACTAAAGAGGATGGGAAAACAAACAAAATGTAAAAAGAAGCATAAGACTGTTGATAGAAATGACCACCATGCAGTCATTTGGAGACTGAATTCTTCCTGCACATTGACAGTTCCCCCGTACACACACCCCCCCGCATACTACAGTGTTACGGGGTATTACCGCCACTAAATGTGACATACTTCATAAACATATGTTGTGAATCAAAATTGGGCATCACAAGGCACTGTGGGTTCAGAGCAGCAGCAGACTTGTATTCAAACGCAATCTGTAAACCCATGGCCCAGCATAACCCTGATTTTATCGAGTCACGATGATGAACCCTAAAGAGTGAGGTGTTATCTTGGTACAGCTGTACCACAGGACAACTTGCAATGACAGCAGATCTAAGCTCTGCTGTCCTGTGAAGTCCAGCCATGGATGGTAGTGGGTAATTAATTCTCAGGTGGTGGAAGCTCAACAAATAATGCCATCCTAACCATGCGAGTTGACCTGTGCAGTATTACTGCCATCTGGGACCAAACCATTTGTAAAAGAATCAAAAATAACATGAAATATGTGCTGCGGAATACGAGTTGATTGTGGTGGATATGGCGAAAATGTGATATGTTGTGGATTTAACAAAATCCACTGTTTTTGTCTGAAGCAGAAAAGGTCTTGACATACTCATCATAGCAACAACAACTTGAATTTAAACAGTATCTATGGGAAGGCAATGTCATTGTGGCTTTGTTCGACTACAAATTCTGAGATCCAAATAATGTTCTGGGGACCTGGGTTCAAATCCTGCAATGGCAAATTGGAATTTGAATTCGTGGAGTCGTAGAGATGTACAGCACAGAAACGGACCCTTTGGTCCAACTCGTCCATGCCAACCAAATATCCTAAATAAATCTAGTCCCATTTGCCAGCATTTAGCCTGTGTCCCTCTAAAGCCTTCCTATTCATATATTCATCGAGCTGTCTTTTAAATGTACCAGCCTCTACCACTTCCTCAAGCAGCTCATTCCATGCACTCACCACCCTCTGCGTGAAAAAGTTGCCCCTCAAGCCCCTTTAAATCTTTCACCTCTCACGTTAAACCTATGCCGTCTAGTTTTGGACTCCCCCACCCTGCAGAAAAGACCATGTCTATTCACCCTATCCATGTCCCTCCATGATTTTATAAACATCTATAAGGTCATCCCTCATCCTCCGCGCTCCAGGGAAAATAGCCCCAGCCTATTCAGCTTCTCCCTAACCAATATCTTGTACAGCTGCAACATGACCTCCTAACTTCTACTCTCAATGCAGTGATCAATAAAGGCAAGCATACCAAATGCCTTCTTCACTATCCTGTCTACCTATGGCTCCATTTTCAAGGAACTGTGAACCTGCACTCCAAGATCTCTTTGTTTAGCAACACTCCCCAGGACCTTACCATTATGTGTATACTACCTGCCCTGATCTGCCTTTCCAAAATGCAGCACCTCACATTTATCTAAATTAAAATCGATCTGCCACTCCTTGGCCCATCTGATCAAGATCCTGTTGTACTCTGAGGTAACCTTCTTCACTCTCCACTACACCTCCAATTTTGGTGTCATCTGCAAACTTAGTAACTGTACCTCCTATGTTCACCTTCAAATTGTTTATATAAATGATGAAAAGCAATAGACCCAGCACCAATCCTTATGGCACACTGCTGGTCACACGGCTCCAGTCTGAAAAGCAGCTCTCTACCACTACCCTTGCCTTCTAACTTGGAGCCAGTTCTATCCAAATGGCTAGTTCTTCCTGTATTCCATGTGGTCTAACCTTGCCAACCAGTCTACCATGAGGAACCTTGTTGAACGCCATACTGAAGTCCATATAGATCATGTCCCCCAATCTGCCCTTGTGAATCCTCTTTGTTACTTCTTCAAAAAACTCAATAAGTTAATGAGATGCGATTTCCAACGCACAAAGCTGTGTTGATTATCCCTGATCAGCCCTCGCCTTTCCAAATACATTTAAATCCTGTCCCTCAGGATTCCCTCCAACAACTTGCCCACCACCGATGTCAGGCTCATCAGTCTATAGTTCCCTGGCTTTTCCATACCACCTTTCTTAAATAGTGGCACCACATTAGCCAATCTCCAGTCTTCTGGCACCTCACCTTTGGCTATCGATATGAATATCTCAGCAAGGGGTGCAGCAATAAGAAATCTGGAAGTCAAGAGTTAAATTATGACTACGCAATCATTATTGACTGTCGTGAAAAACACATCTGGTTCATTAATGATAGTTAAGGAAGGAAACTGTCCTTAAAAGCTGAACTTACCTGGTCTGGCCTACATATGACTCCACATCCATGGCAATATGGTTGACTCTTAATCGCCCTCTGGGTAACTTAGAGATGAGCAGTAAATGCTAGCTTGATCAGAGATGCTTTCCATTCCATGGATGATTTTTAAAAAAAATTGTAGTTAAATATCCCACAGTTTTTCATAGAAGTGCTTTCAAGCAAAAATTTGCACTGAACCAAAATATATTAATGCAGATAGCTTGGTCAAAGAGGTGTTTGAAAGGTTAAGGAGTGCCTTAAAGGAGAAAAACAAGATGAGAGAAGTTAATTAGTTTCAGAATCACAATTATTTCAGTGCAGAAGGAACACATTCAGCACATTGTGTCTGCACCAGCTCTTCAATTTAGCAACATTACCCAGTATCAATCTTCTATTTCTCTCCCATACCTTTGTACACTGTTTCTAATCTGTTTTAATTCCTTTTACCAGCAAGAACAGTTTCTCCCTATCTACACTATACTCCCTTGCTTATGATTTTGAAAACGTCTATCAAATTTCCTCACAGTCTCCTTTCTGTCCAAGGAGAACAGCCCTAGTGTATTCAATCTATCGTCAACTGAAGATTCTCATTCCTGGACCCTTATAAAAAACCTGCACCCTCTTCAATGAATTTACATCCTTCCTAAAATGTGGCATCCACAACTGTACACAATACTCCAGCTGAGGTTTAATAAGTGTTTTCAACGTTACCTTGCTCTTGTACTCTTTACCTCTATTAATAATGTCAAGGACACTGTATACTTTATTAACTGATCTTTTCACCTGTCCTTCAGCCTTCAATGATCTATGCACAAATACACTCGGGTCCCTTTGCTCTTGTACTCCTTTTAGAATTGTACTCCTACTATATATTGTCTTTCAATTGTCCTTCCGTCAAAGTGCATCACCTCACACTTCTCTACATTCAACCTCATCAGCTACCTATCTTGTCACTTCACCATCTTGTCCAGTTGTCCACACTGTCCCCACAGTTTAAAATTTTTCCAAGCTTTGTGTCATTTGCAAACTTTGAAATTATCCCCTGCACCCAAAATCCAGATCGTAATGTCAGAAGAAGAAAGGACCCCAGTGCTAAAGCCTGGGGACCTCCACGATAAACCTTATTCCAGCCCAAAAAATATCCATTGACCATTATTCACTCAGCCAATTTTGTATTCATATTGCTAATCCCTGTTGTGGCACTGTATCAAACACCTTCTGGAAATCCATGTGTACCACATCAACAGTGTTATCTTCATCGAGCATTTCAGCTAACACTTTAAAAAAGCTCTACAAAATTGGTTAAACATGATTTCCCCTTTAGAAATCCATGCTGACTCTTCCTAATCAAGCTATCTCTATCCATAAGACTATTAATTCTATCCTGAATGATTCTAGAAGTTTCTCCACCACTGAAGTTAAATTGACTGGTCTCTATTGTTGGGATTTATCCTTAGAACCTTTCTTCAGTAAGGCCATAATGTTTGCAATTCTCCAGTCTTCTGGCGCCTCCCTTGAGTCCAGGGAGGACCTAAAGAATTATGATCCGTGCCTCTGTATTTTTTACCCTCACTTCCTTTATAATCCTTGGATGCATCTCAACTGGTCCCGGTACTTTGTCAACTTCTAAGTACCAATAGTCTTTACAAGACTGAATCCTTATTAATTTTGAACTGTTCTCATAACAGAGTTTCCTCCTCTGGTACCATGGGTTAGGCAGCACACCTTTTGTAAAGACAAAAGCAAAGTATTATCTTAACGCCTTAGCCGTGCCACCACATTGTCCCCCCCCACATTTATGGGGAGAATTTGAGAACTTGGGCAATGAGAATACATGTAGTTAATTGTGGATTGGTGTGAAAAACACCTTTCATCTTTTTCTAAACTTTCTACCAATCATTTTAGATCTCTACCTCCTAGTCACCGACCTCTCTGCTAAAGTAAAAAGACTGTACCAATCCACTTTGTCTAGGCCTGTCAATTTTGAGCATCTCGATCAAATCTCTTGTGAGCCTATCCTATCCAAGGATAATAATGCAAGAAATAGAAACAGAAATTGCTGGAAAAGTTCAGCAAGTCTGGCAGCATCAGTGGAGAGAAATCAGAGTTAATGTTTCGGGTTGAGTGACCCCTCCTCAACATCAGCCTTCCCATTCCCCTAAGAATGTTGGTCAGAGCCATTGGCTAACGAATAGAATTTATTTGCATACTGGAGGAAATGGCTTTGATCTTCCCAGTATTTTGTATCACAAATTTCTGCTCATATTGTTGGAGAAACAGTCTGATCATTGAGAAATGGTGAAACGGTTTGGGCGTTGTCAACATATGTGTGAAAATCGATGCTGTTAATTTTTGGATGTCAGTGAGCGACAGCAGATAGATAAGGAAATGTGACAGGAGAGTGCCTAAAGTTATATCCTTCCAGGATACCAGAACTAACTGAGAAAGTGAGAAAAGAAGCAAACAAAAGGTATTTATCTGTGACTGAATAGATAAGGATGATGATGCTGTGATTTGTGGGGGAGCGCTGACTTTCTTTCCCGTACTTATGTTTTTTTATGTACCTCTTTTGTGGCAGATAATGGGAAATGGAAGGGTGGTCATGCCTCTTGACATTGTTCTGACAATGAGGTTACTGCTTTGTCTGCTGAATGCCCATCTATTGGTCTTCCAAACTAGGGAGCCTGCTTGCTGTCTTTGATTGAACCTGGATCCTGAAGGGCAGGCTGCTCCAAATTTGCCCTCTGCGTTCATGTCTGGCATTTGAAGCTTCCTGACAGTCATTTTGTCCTCATGGGGAATTCGGAACCTGGGAACAAAAGTCCTGTTCTCAGATGATAAATGAAATCAAATGTAAAATCAAGGTAAAACAGCACTAAAATATAATGAATAGATTTTTAAACAAAAAAAAACCCAACATAATAGTCTTTTTCCCTTGCCAAATCAAACTGCCATCTTGGGTCGCTCTTAGTGAGCTGAGTACTCAGTATAATCCTATCCTAAATTGAGAAGTTGCTCAGTTTAAGTTGACTTATTTTAAATGCCTACAAAGATCTCACACAAAACATGGAAGAATCCTTTAAACTACCAGATAGTCTGGCCGTCTTGCAATTATTAATCTAATTGAGTGAAAAATCTGCTGTAGCTATTAACAGGTCAATGGCCTTTGGAGGGGGTCATATCTCTTGACTGTCTGCCCTTTTCCCATGGTTATGATCGTGCCCGGGTGTCATTGGAGGTGGAGCATGCGGTATCCATCAATGCTGCAGATGACTTTAGAGAGAGGTAGGAACTGTGGGGGATATAGTGCTTTGTTTACCCATCCAACTACCACTTATCACACTGGCCACACCTCCCTCACTTTGATGGTATGTATTGCCTGTAACGAACTTTGCACGTAAATTTCTAATTGCTACTCAGGTGATTGATTAATTATTTATTAACAGATCAACCACCCCAGGATGAACTTCAGCTCACAGGGCTACCAAGTGACCAGTGTTGTGATTATGTACCTTTGTTTAGTTATATATTCAATGTGTTCCACAGATGATGAGAACAATATCCTCGTTCTTGTGTGCCATTGGCATTTAAGGTAGAACCGAGAGCCTTTTGAGCCCGGGTAGGGTGTTGGGTAGCTGGAACCCATAGCCTAAAAGATGTGGTAGAGATGCAAACTATCAAAAGATTTAAGACGTATTTAGGTAGCACTTGAAATGCCATATCCTACAAGGCTATGGGCCAACTGCTGGAAAGTAGATGAGAAGAGACAGATGCTTGATGGTGTCTGAACAGCCTCTTTCTAGTAGTGAAAACTTTATGACTCTAGGTAGACAGTCTTACACTTCACAATCATAAATATATTTTCAAGCAGAAACATGAATATATGAATATATCTTTATTTTATTATTAAATAATTAACAATGAAAAACCAAATTCACAAGATGTTCAGAACTGTTAAGTTTTCTTTCCAATTGAATTAATTGATGGTGGTTAATAGTTATAAATTAAAAAGAAGTCACTGTGATTTAGTGGTGGGAAAGCTGTTCAGTTGTGTGCAATAAAACTTCTGGATATAAAAAAAAGTCTGGTGTGCTCATCAGTTAATTTTGGTACATGACTATTAATGAAACATTTGATGTCAGGAAGTTGAATTTATAGGGCCACCCTGCAAGTGGTTAAATATGCAGGTAGACTCCTAAATTTGGATACCATGCCATCAGTGGTGTGGATACTGTTAATGCGCCTGTACTATGTTTTTTAGATTAATGGGGCAGTGTCGGGTGAGGTCACCCATTTCTTATCCAATTGAGAGCCTTAATTGTGTAATTAATGCCCAATTAAGGGCTTCATCCCATTGCCACTCTGATTCAACAGGCCTGTGTTCAACTCTGCAGGCTACTGGCAAGTCAAAGGGAAGGACCTCCTCATCATTACCCTGACACCCCTCTTCTGCACCCACCTCCCCAAAACAACCCACAACGAGCTTTGCCTCAAGTCGATCATTTGTCCCTCCCTATCTAACTTGCCCTGCCAACCCAGTCCCGTTACTATCTGGACTTATCCGGGTTTGGTGTCATTCATGGATCCCAATCCTCTGGGCCTCCTGCAAAGCCACACTGAGCATGTTACTGTTGTGGTGCATAGTAGCTGACTTTCAATTGTTTGGCAAATCAATAAGGCAGGTCTGTTTCCTGGAGATGGCCAGAAGTCCCACCTCATATTAATTGACGGCCATTGTCTGAAAATGAAAGTTGGATGAGACAGAGGTGGGCTCACTCCTGGAGCATACACTAGATTGCAGGAAGCCCATCTCCAGGCTTTAGTCCAATCATCATAAATTTACCTATAGAGAGCCAAGATGTTTTAGTTTGGTGTATATGTTTTAGCTGTGTGATCACCTATCCTTATATAATGCTCAGACTTGTGATCTACAACTACCATCAGAAATTAATATTTCTCACTATTATTAGCTGAGAGACAAATATGCAGAATAATTATGTAAGCCAACATATTATTTCCCATTTTTAAATTCAAATTACTTTTTAATCATGTTACTGCTCCTTTTTCTTTTTTTTATACAAATTGGTGTAAATGGGTTGCGGAATTTGTCTCAGAATGGTTACATGAAACATGGAGGTGAAAGAAGAACCCTGACCAAAAACATCAAAGAGTTTATTGTGGGCCTGAAGACACAAGGCAGCCTGGTCAATTTAGTCAAAACAAAAATAAGGAAGTTTTCTGCAAAATCAATTAAACTGAAAATCTCTTTCATCAGGAAAATGTACAGACCTTTCCCTATTAAGATTATGACACATGTCTCCTTCTTTACACATCTGGAGATCGATAAAACTAATAGTGATAACAAACAGAAATGAACTGCCTACGGTTTTTTTCGAGTTTACCCACGGGAAGCTACACGGACCCTGGATAGGAGACATCTGGCAAGAGGCGCTGGAGGGTACAGTGATGTAATTAGAAACAAATTAGATAGGCTTAAAACAATTTTTACACTACATGCTGCAAGGCATATCAAGAAAAGAAAGGCATAGGAAAAGCACTCAAATGTAAAAATATGCACTGGTTCAATGATCTGGTCAATCAGCTGAAATTACACACAGAGCTTGCCAACAGATCAACCACTCAGGATGAAGTCCAGCTCACAGGGCAACCAAGTGACCTGTGTTGTGATTATGTACCATTGTTTAGTTATATATTCAACGTGTTCCACAGATGAGGAGAACAATATCCTCGTTCTTGTGTGCTATTGACATTTAAGGTAGAACCAAGAGCCTTTTTAGACCGGGTAAGGTATTGGGTAGCTGGAACCCATAGCCTAAAAGATGGGGTGGAGTGAAAACTATCAAGAGATTTAATAATCTTAGATGACCACTTGAAATGCCATATCCTGCAAGGCTATGGGTCAAGTGCTGGAAAATAGATGAGAATAGATTGATGCTTGATGATGTCCGAAGAGCCTCTTTCCCAGGCGCGAAAACTCTACGATTCTAGGTAGAGAGTCTTACACTTCATAGTCATAAATGTATTTTTAATCAGAGACATGAATACATGAGTATATCTTTATTTGCTTGTTAAATAATTAACAATAAAATGCAAAATTCATAAAATGTTCAGAACTGTTAAGTTTCCTTTAAATTGAACTCATTTCATTTTTTAAGATAACTTAAAAACTACCTAACTTACCATTCACTGCTGTGAATTAGACCCACTGAATAATTATACCCAGCAATAATTATACTTAGGACTTGTGTCTCCCATTGAGAATGAGTTTCAGAACCACTTTAACATTGTTCAACTATTCCCATAATATTCAAATACATTATCCAGCGTTAGAACATCAACTACACTGACAAAATTAAAACAGAATACAGTTCACTAATGCAGAATTAGTCAATCAAATTTATTACTTGTTAAAAAATGTCATCTGTCCATTGACCCAGTCCTCATTCTGTAAGGATTCATGAATATTGTGGCAGAATGTCTACTTTAAATTTAACTATTAAAACACCATAAAAAGAAAATACATTAATTGAAGTTACAAGAGACAACAGATAATATTCAAAAAGTACAATGTGAAGAATATAAATACAACTATTTGACAATTTCCTCTGAATAGTTCAAAGGCATTCTGTTTTAAATATTGAGTGCCTGTAATTTGCATCCCGAGGTTTCTTCATAGAATCAAATGCTCTTCGCTGGCAGTATAAATGTCTCAACTGCATTCTTAAATTACAACATTTTAATGGATTTCCAATAAAAACTGGACAATACTGGAAACCATTGCATTTGGATTGAAATATAGAAAATAGTAGAAATATACTCGAGAATGATATTTATTAAGAAAAAAGATAAGTTGTGCAATGCGTGACATGTATCCTTCATTTTGTACTGACTGGCCTACTGTGTGTTTCCAGCATTTGTAGTTTCCTTTCAGGTTTCCAGAATTGCAGTTTTCTTTTGTCATACACCAGAATTTGTAAAATGGCTCATATGTGCAACAGGATAATATCTCACCTATGTACAGTGCAAGTTGGTTAATCAATTAAATAGCTTTGTCTCCCTGAGTGCACTTTGCATAATGCGAGCCATTTCCTAACTAACTAACTTGAATAATAGTTGACAAAAATATTTCAATAGATCAGGAACTTGAAACTGAGGAAAATAAATCCAACATTTCTTACATCAATTTCAGAGAAAATGGTGAAAACACACATTTTGAAAATTCAGACCAAAAAGGGGAAAATCAATCAATTATTATTCATTCCTATTACTAAAATCAAAATCAGTAAATAGGGTCTGATTCTTAGTTCTAAGAATAAGCATTAATGCTAGAATAAGCATTACCTTAGAATTCAACAGAAAAGTTAAAAATAATGACATTAAACAATGACATTTTTTACCAAATGCATTTAAAACAACGTTCAAGGAAAATATACATTGCATTGTCTGTTTTATGTTTAACGTTAACTTCTGCATTTCTAAGAAGTAAAATTGTAGGCTTCCGACACAGGAAAAGGCATGCGAGGCTTTGCATTCCAAACATAAACTTCAGCTTAGAACTATAAAACAACAATCTGACTCACATATCAACTTGGCACACTTTATGTCAGTATTGAAAGGCAATAGAATTTCGCTCTACATATCTCAAACCATCACCCTTTAAATGCCACATTTTTGATAATTTTGATTCTAACATGAAAACAAATGGCAGTAACAAGCTAACATGGATTCTAAACATCTATGAATTTTACACACATATGATATCTTCCAATACTTTGATAGGATTTCATTACAACAATTTGGATGTCAAGTGGACAGAAAGTAGATTCCCAAAATTACACAGTAAAATATACATAGGGCAAATAACTTAAAAGCATTTTGGTTATACTGAAAGTAATGCCACAAATATATATCATGGAAAAAAATTTCCATGTGTAAGTTGATTTTAATGATTTTAAAATTGATGTTAAATGACGATACCACAAATAGACACTGTAGCAATTCATTCCCAACTGTGATTTGTTCTTGTTTTTATTCAGAAAATAATTTCTCTTTTTATTGCTGAAGGTCCCATTGAAGATATAAAATATAGTTTTTTCAAAAATGTGCACTGCAAATTTCCCTTACTGCCCTAGCACAAATACTAGTTACAGAGTGCACAAACCCAATGGTCCGTGCAAAGGAAATATCACAAATCAGCCTGATGTGTTTGGATCTGTCACAAAGGCTTGTAGAAGGAGACAAACCAGTGTGCCTTGCAGAAGAAAAAGTAATGTAAAACCAGCATTGCAATTTACTTTTTTCTTTCTTTTCCATATATTCAATTCCAAGATGGCAGGACTAATTCCAAACGGGCTTCTAGTTAATAATAATAAGGCTTTTTATAGAAATTTATTATAATAATTATCAGAAAATACATCACAAGCTGCAGTCAGACCATATTAAATTAACAGATTATTTTAGCATTAGCCAAAGGAAGGACTGTATCTGTTTAATGTTTTGAAGTTAAATAAATTAATCAAAACTCTTGATTGTGAACATTCAATATGCTTCATTCCATCAGGGATCAACTGCACAATTTTAATGCACAGACAATATGAAATGTATTTAGACTAATGTTGCTGGCATGGGAGAATTAGAGTTTTGAATGGCAGAATAAATTGAGTAACACAAATTGAAAATTACAAAGGGGATAAACCTCATGAGCAACAGAATAATATGTATATGCAGGCTGTAAATACAAAAGCATTTGGCTTTCTGGACTCTATTTACCAGAAATATTGAAACTTCCAATAAAACTGATGTATAACACTTTAACTTTCCACCTTAATTCTATGGCTATATCTGTTTTAAAAAACTAATCACTAAGGTATTTAATGTATTATTTTGCAATAATTGAGATCCTAAGCATAATCATGAAGATAATTTATATCTTACAGAACGTGCTGTCTGTTTCTTACATTAATGAAACGATGCATGTTCTGAGTGGTATGTTGCAATGTTGTTGAAATATACTGCTTTCCTCTTTACTGTGATCAAAATAATTCTGCCTGGCTTTCCAATTGAACCATGCCTGGTGTTAAAGGTTAGAAAACATGTTACTGAATAAAAGCATGGTTTTAGTAGTTGCAGAATTGTCATTTCTCTGCGTCATAGTCTGGCATCAGTTATTAAGACTACCTATGAATTTTCATTTTCAATCAGCATATAAAATCACATGCTGAAAGTCCTCCATCTTGACCGTGACCATTTTCAAACTGGTGAAAGTAAAACGTGTTTGTTTTTTTCTGTGAACTTGCTATAGGATGCACTCCATGGTTAAGTTAGTCTACATTATTGACACATTTCAATGAAACAACACAGTTCATTTTTCTTTATTTGTTAAATCTCATGAGCTTCAGGAATAATTTTGACGTCATGTGTACTGTCTTCTTATTTATTGTTACCAAAGGTGAAATTTGATATATGAACTTAGCTTTGCAAAAAGATCAACATTGATCTGAAGAAACAGAGACCATTTCACAAGGGAATAGAATTGCACTCTATTTGATTTTGCAGTTACACTGAATCCCTCAAACTTTTTTTTTAACATTGCATGTAATATATTTTAATTGATTGACTGTTGGAGAATAGATTTCTTTGAGAGGCATCGGAGTCAGTAGACCATTTAATCAAAAGAGAAAAAGAGGTTTATGAAAAGTAGGAAGATACTCAATGTTTTTCACCATACATCATGATCTTAATTACTTGACAAAAGTAATAACTAGGTGCAGTGCAATAATTTTACTGTATGTATTAATTTCAAAATTGGTTGATCCCAAACTTTACAGTGATCACTGATTTTAATTTGTTTTATTGATATTGGCATCGTGGATGGGTGATAAAGGCATTCTTCTTTCATGTATAAAACTTGCTGCTGTTGGGATGCCTTTTTTCCTTGTCCTTGCCTCTGAAGAATGGAAACAGCAGAAAAATCTCTTTGTTAGTTATTCAACTTAGGCTTTGTTAACTTTACCATAAAAGTCTAACAAATAATCAAACATAGGGTCATTCCAAAGTTCTCTCTGTTTCTACCCCAAAAAAGTGACAGTAGTGCTAATATTTTGAGGGAAGCTGGGATTGTTCTCCTTAGAGTGGAATATGTTGAAGGGATCTTTAATCGAATTGTTTAAAATTATGATGTGACCAAACAGAATAAATGGGGAGAAACTAGTTCCACTGGCTTAAATGTCAGTAAGCAGAAGACAGAAATTTAAAACACTTAGCAAAAAAGCAGGTGGGAACATGAGGAGAAGAAATTTATTGTGATTTGGAATAAACTGATTGAAAGAGATGCAGATTCAGTAAAAGAAGGAAGATGGAGAGTGGGGCAAATTCATTAAGTTTTAAAATCGTGGCACAGGCACATTGGATTGAATACTCTTCTGTTGTGCTTTATGATTCTATTTCATTTGAATGATGAATGTTGAAACAGTGTGATGTGCATGGGTGCAGTGAAATCCTATTATAACGACACAGATTATGTAAATAACTTGTGTTGAACATGTTTAGGTTGATAAAAGATTGATGAGAAGAGTGTATTCTGCATTGCTTGACTCATTCAGAGTGCCCAAAGACATTCAAATGCTTACATTCTTAACAGTTCAGTACAATTTATTGCAAATTTTTGTTTTAATATGATATACTTTCCAACTTTTCATGAAAACTAAAATACTAATATTGAGGAGATAAGGATAAGGATACCGATAATTTCTTCGGTATATTTGTTAAATCAAAGTAAATCCACTGTTGAGTGTTCAGTTGATTATAGAGTCCTTAAATATTTTAATGATCAACATGCAGTGGAAATTACAAACCGAAGCTAATTAAGTATTAAATTAAGATTACATGTAGTACAAAGCCAATTGTATGTATTATAACAAAGTATAATTGTGCATTTACTTCTGCACTCTTATTAATATTGAAAGTCGCAACAACGGGTCAAAATCATGGAACTGCCTACATAAAACCATTGTGGGTGTTATGTACACCACATGGTCTCTTGGAATTCATTAGATCCCACAAAACAACATAAAAGATAGAGGCGATTTTGACTAATGAGTGCCTGATCAGCAGATCAGGCAGAAAATTTATCTGCTACTGCAGCAATGCAGAGGTGATGCTTTTGAGGGCTCAGCCACATTTGGATCAACAAAGCAGGGTGCCACGTGGGAGCAATATCACCAAATTAGTACTGACTAATATTGAGACACTCTGGCCAGTAACAAGTTGATGGGTAAAATGGACAGGGATTAAGATATCAGAGATTTCCACTGGCACCTCAAAAAGACTGCCAAACTTACTTTCTCAGCATTGTTACCCAATTAAACTGATCAGTGCATCTAGGGCAGCAGTTCCAACATAAACTCATAGCTGGTGTCCTGGGATATTAGAGGGGGCCATCTGCCTGAAACAGACAGACACTTTGGACAAAAAAACAGTATGCTCCTTTCAAAAGAGTACTCATCATATTGCTGAGGCTTGTGGGACCGTAGGGGTACAAAACTCATGTTGAGGCTTTTATAGTCTTGGGGCACAACAAGATAAAATCACCAGCAGAATCTTTCGGCATTTACAAGAGATCTACAATCACTCTTTCACTTAGTTTCTCAGGATTAAAGTTTCCATAGACTGTACTCACCTCCTCTTTGGAACTTCTGGCAGCTGATCTCTCTGACCTCCACCCCTTGCGGTTTGTATTGTAGTATCATATAGTATTGGGTCAAATTGTCGCTGACGAGGTGCACTGGTGCTATATAACCCATCTAAAGTCCGTTGTCTTTTTAAGGCACTGTCATATAACCCTTCAAGTGGCCGCTGCTGTAACTGTTGACGTGAGGAGTAGAGTTCCTCTTCACCTTCCTGTGATTATCAAATAATATGCATTTAATGGCAGGATTAGCTAATCTTTTTTTAAATTCAGTAATGGGATGAGGGCATCGCTGGCTAGGCAGCATTTATTGCCCATCCATAATTACCCATAGGGCAGTTCAGAGTCAACCACATTGCTGTGGGTCTGGAGTCACATGTAGGCCTGACCAGATAAGGATGGCAGTTTCCTTCCCTAAAGGACATTAGTGAACTAGATGGGTTTTTCCAACAGTCGGCAATGGATTCATGGTCATCATTAGATTCTTAATTCCAGATATTTATTGGATTCAAATTCCACCATGTGCCATGGCGGGATTCGAACCTGGGTCCCCAGAACATTATCTGGGTCTCTAGATTAACAGTCCAGCAATAATACCACTAGGCCATTGTCTCCCCTTGAGTTAGTGTTTGTGTGATCATTTTTAAAGGATATGGTTTTTGGCAGCAGAATATCACAAATAATCATGTTACGTAAGTTGAATGCCTCTGCAATCTTTTAGGTGATCATTTCGCAAAAGTATGATTTCTTTAGCAGAGGAAATGACCTCCACTTTGTTAGCTCCTTAATTCACAACAGGATAGAGTGAGATGTCTTACCAGATTACTAACACTGAAGGGTGACAGTAGGGAATAATAACTTTCCAAATATAGACTTGGATTGTCACAGTGTTAAGGGCTTGGATAGTGAAGAATTTGTTAAGTGTATACAAGAAAGCTTCCTTATTCAATATGTGGATGTACCTACTGGTGAAGGAGCAATACTTGACCTTCTGTTGGGAAATTAAGGAAGGGCAAGTGACTGAGGTGTTAATGGGGGAGCACTTTGGAACAATTGATCATAATTGTATTAGTATTAAAATTGTTATGGAAAAGGATAGAACTGATCAAAATGTTAACGTTCTATATTGGAGTAAGATCAATTATGACAGTATTAGACAGGAACTTTCAAAAGTTGCTTAGGGGAAGCTATTCACAGGTTAATGATGGTTGAGAAATGGGAGGCCTTCAAAAATGAGATAATGAGAGTTCAGAGAAAGTATGTTCCTATTAGTGTGAAGGGCAAGGCTGGTAAGTGTACAGAATGCTGGATGACTAGAGAAATTGAGGCTCTGATCAAAGAAGGGAGCATGTATCAATTATAGACAGCTGGGATCAAGTGAATCCTGAGAGGAGTCGGAGGGCAATAGGTGTATACTTCAGAGGGAAATCAGGAGGGCAAAAAGGGGACATGAGATAGTTTTGGTAAATAGAATCAAGGAGAACTCTAAGAGATTCTGTAAGTACATTAAGGGCAAAAGAGTAACTAGGGAGTAAATAGGGCCTTTTAAACATCAACATGGCCATCTATGTGTGGAACCACAGTAAATAGGTGAGATATTAAACGAATATTTTGAGTCAGTATTTATTATGGAGAAGGATATGGAAGCTAGGGAACTTGGCGCTATAAATAGTGATATCTTCAAAAGAGTTCATCTTACAGAAGAGGTGCTGGAGGTCTTAAAACACACAAAAGTAAAAAAATCTCCGGAACCTGAACAGGTGTTTCCCAGAACTTTGTGGGAAGTTAGGGAAAAAATTTCTGGGGCCCTTGCTGAAATATTTGTAAAATCGACAGCCACGGGTGAGGTGCTGGAAGACTGGAGGTTGGCTAATGTGGTGCCATTATTTAAGAAAAGCTGTAAGGAAAAGCCAGGAAACTATAGACCAATGAGCCCTATGCCAGTGGTGGGTAACTTGCTGGAGGGGATTCTGAGGGAGAGGATTTGGAGAGGCAACGACTGATCAGAGGAATGGCTTTGTGTGTGGGAAATCATGTCAAGTGGCGACAAAGAAAATTGATGAAGGCAGAGTATTAGATGTTTTCCAAATGGACTTCAGCAAAGCATTCAACAAGGTTCTGCATTGTAGACTGGTTAGTATGATTAGATAACTTGGGATCAGGGAAGCTAGTCAATTGGATACAAAATTGTCTTGAAGGTAGGAGAGGGTGGTGGTAGAGGGTTGCTTTTAGGACTGGAGGCCTGTGACCAGCGATGTGCCACAAGGATTGGTGCTGGGTTCACTGCTTTCTTTCATTTATACAAATGGTTTAGATGTGAATATGGGAGGTATGGTTAGTTAGTTTGCAGATGACACAAAAATAGGTGGCATAATGGACAGTGAAGAAGATTATGTCAGAGTACAGCAGGACCTTGATCAGATGTGCCAATGGGCTGAGGTGTGGCAGATGGAATTTAATTTAGATAAATGTGAGGTATTGCATTTTGGTAACGCAAACGAGGGCAGGACTTATACAGCTAATGGTAGGGCCCTGGGGAGTGTTGACGAACAAAGAGACCGAGGGGTGCAGGTGCATAGTTTCTTGAAAGTGGAGTCACAGGTAGATAGGGTGGTGAAGAAGATGTTTGGCGTGCATGCCTTCATTGGTCAGAACTCTGAGTATAGGAGTTGGGACATCATGTTGCAGCTGTACAGGACACTTGTGAGGCTACTTTTAGATACTGCGCACAGTTCTGGTTGCCTTTCTATAGGAAAGATGTTGTGAAACTTGTGAAGGTGCAGAAAAGATTTACAAGGATGTTGCCAGGATTGGAGGGTTTGGGTTATAGGGAGAGGCTAAATAGGCTGGGGCATTTTCCCTGGAGTGCCGGAGGCTGAGGGGTGACCTTACGGAGGTTTATAAAATCATGAGGGGCATGGATAGGGTGAATAGCCAAGGTCTTTTTACCAAAATGGGTGTGTCTAAAACTAGACAGCATAGGTTTAAGGTGAAAGGGTAAAGGATCTGAGCGGTAACTTTTTCATGCAGAGGCTGGTGTGTGTATGGAATGAGCTGCCAGAGGAAGTGATGGAGGTTGGTACAATTATGCAATTTAAAAGGCACCCGGATGGGTACATGAATAGGAGGGGTTTAGAGCGTCTAGGTCAGCGTGGACGGCATGGACGAGTGGAACAAAGATCTGTTTCCATGCCGTACAATAAAATAATTTAACTTCCTTGTGCGAAATTTATTGTGGTTGTTTCACTCAAATAATAAACATTATGCAAATAATTCAAATATAGACAAAAAATGTACTTTGAAATGTTACATTGACAGTTTCGCTATGTGAAGTCTGACCTGTTGAAACTTCAGTTCTTACCTGTAACTACTCTGATTGCTAATTTTCTATTAGCGGTCCTACTTTAACTATCATAACTATAGACTATTTCACAGGCATACCTAATGGCTATTGGGGTATCTTAGTGAAGCCTGAAAAAAATTATTTTGGGTTGGATTTCCCCATTTTTAGCTGTGTTATTTTTGGGGTGGCAGCTTCAAGGCAGGTTTACATGGCTCACAGTGACTTTTCTCACTACCTTGCACTCCTCACTTTGTTAATTATTTGTCAACCTTGTCGTGTAATCTCACAGCATGAGAGGCAAGATTCTGGCTCCTGCCAGGACTTTCTGGTGTACAAGCGACTGGAGCCACACCGAAAGCCCAGCTACACATGACTTGAGATGCCGCAAGGCAAGAACTACCTTGCGCACTGTCCTCTTAACAAACCAAAATGTCACAGAAAGGAAAGCTGGCATGCGGCTTTACAGATTGGGACCTGGAGTTCCTGGTGGACAGGGTGGTCCATAGGAGGTCCATCCTTTACCCAGCAGCCAAAGCACCAAACACAGCTGGCCTGGACTCAAAGAGCAGCTCGGGTCAGGGCTGACACCAGGTTTAGAGGGAATACACAGCAGTGCAGGAAAAAGCTTAATGATTTTCTGCATTTGGTAAGGTTAGATTCCACCACCTTCTCTCTGCTATGGCACACTCACTCTAACACTGTTACCACACACATACCTCAGCAACACTTGTGGGCTACCAGCCTCACTACTGTATGCAGCTTTCCGATTCTACAGCTCTCACCACCACACCCCCACCCCCACTCCCACTCCTTTCCTGTCGAAGGAGCTATGCAATCCATAGTGGTTGGCAGCCTCCAAGCAAGTGCAAAGCGAAGAAAAATCGCTGGACTGCATACCAGTCATTTTACACACTTAATCAGGGGCTTCGAAAATGGCATCATTCTCAAAAGAAGCTTCGGGGTTCTAGAGACCACCGATTGATGCCTATACTTAAGGGAAATCAACAACGGGAAGGTAGATATTTTCCTTTCTTTTCTCTTGGAGTGAGGGTGAGGGGAGGTGTCGGAGGAGTTGGAGGCAGGGAAAGGGGATGGCTTTTGGAAACCACTCCCTTGCCTTCCAACCATGCCAAAACCAGTCCAGCTCGTCCCTGCCTCCCTAACCTGTTCTTCCTCCCACCTATCCCCTCCTCCCACCTCAAGCCGCACCTCCATCTCCTACCGACCAACCTCATCCCGCCCCCTTGACCTGTCCGTCCTCCCTGGACTGACCTATCCCCTTCCTAACTCCCCACCTACACTCACCTTTACTGGCTCCATCCCCACCTCTTCGATCTGTTTGTTTCCTCTCCACCTATCCTCTCCTCTATCCCTCTTCTATCCGCCTCCCACTCTCTCCCTATTTATTTCAGAACCCCCTTCCCCTCCCCCTTTTCTGATGAAGGGTCTAGGCCCGAAACGTCAGCCTCTCTCCTCCTATGATGCTGCTTGGCCTGCTGTGTTCATCCAGCCCTGCACCTTGTTGTCTCGGATTCTCCAGCATCTGCAGTTCCTACTATCTCATGTCAGACTGCTGTTAGGTTGGGCCAAATGGAGGACCCTATCCCAACCTGGTTAGCAGGTGGAGTCCAGTTGGGAAACAAACCATTTTGCCGCTTGCCAGGAATGCAGGGAACTAGGGAATGTGGTGAGTTGGGGTCCTTAAGTGGCTCTTACTTGACCAGTACAGAAAGTCTCTAATGGACTTCCTCAACAGCACTTCATTGGTGACATGGACGGAAGGCAATGAGATTCTTTCAGTGCCAACCCTCCCAAATATGTCCCACTAACTCTTGCCACCTCCAGCGAGGGGAAAACTGTGCTCTATATTTCTAATGCATGAATCATAATCTGGTGGGGGATATCGCCTGCACTGTACAATTTTATATCCGACTGGATTTTTATTCCATTGAAATTAATGTAATGAAAACATGATATTCTGTGGAGTGTGTGTGATCTGCAATCCCTGGTGGGGAAGATGAAATCCATCCTGCTGTCTCTTTCATTTCATGTCATTTCTTTACATTACAACACTGACTGCGCATTATTAGTTTTGAAGTGCTTTGGGATGTGCTGGGGTCTAGAAAGGCGTTATATAACTGCAAGTTCTTTTTCTCTTACCTATCAGGTTTGGATTTCTGGAACATGTAGAGAGAAATTCATGCTTTCAATGATAACTTACCAGGTTACAAGTTAACAATAATTAATAGTCTGAGTTATAAAAATTTACCCCTAATTGGTTCACTTCACACTGGATAAGCAGAGATGCCAATTCTATGTCTTCATTGTAACCATTTTTAAGAGGAACTGATCGATATCCTGGAGAGAAGATGGAAAACATGCATTTACTGAATGTTCAAATTTCTGAACATTAAACAACATCATCATTTCAATTATACTGACAAATTGACATCTTACATCAAAACCCCATGGAAACTAATTCAAGTGTTAGTATGCACGATGGGAGCTTGCTTCATATTCAAAACTTCCTAATAGTTTTTATACAAAACCTTACCAACGTGAAGATTTTGTGAATGTGAAGTAGAACTAACTCCCTTTCAACTTCCTTTTTATTCATCATGGGATATGCACATTGTTAGCAAGTTCAGCATTTATTGCTCATTGCTAATTGCCCTTAGGAATATGGTGTAAGGCACCTTCTTGTACCGCTGCAAGCCTTGTAGCTCCCTTCCAAAAATAATTGCTGTATTTTGTATTTTTATGGGGAAATAACACAATACATGAATCTTTCCAGACAGAATCACAGATTCTGCGGGCAAATGGCTAGCTGATTATGCATAGGCACATTGACTGACTCAACATTCTGTCACAGTTTTGAAATGTTAATGCATGCAGGCACACAACTCCTACTCAAAGCATGCATAAAGATACCGATCCTAAGTCATAGGAGACACAGGATGTTTGTGAAATTGCTGTTTGTGGTGAACAGAAATGTAGAGAGAAAGCAAAATTTTAACAAAGTGGATTTGCTGGTCCTAGGTCCTAGGTATACTAAAGTTGTGCCGACATTAGATTATGTGCAGCATGATTCTGCAGCAACTGATTGTGATGAAAACATAATTAAATTTATTAGTTTTATGTTAATTTGATGAATATATCCAATAAAGAAAAAAATTCACCATTATAGACTTACGGTCTCCTCGTCCATTGCTGTATTCTAACAATAGAAGATCTAAATTTAACCATAATAATATTTCACTTTCATTTTATTCCATCTTTTCATTTTAATGAAAGACTTTGTTCACCAAATTGACTTTGTGTTCACCATGTCTGGAGCATGTCTGTACTTTCTCAGAAATGAATTGAAATGCTGCAAAACTTCATTCACATGTCGACAACTAAACACAATCTCAGATATGTTAAGCAGCAGGTTAATTTTGTTCAGTAGAAAGTTTGAAACGTCACTTCTCACACTGTTTACATTTGTGTATGCTGAACGTGAGCTACAATTAACTGGAATTTTGTCAGTCACAGATATTACAAGAAATACTTCACTGAAACCTCATATGATAGCTAGACCAGCCTCATTTTGCCCTTGAGACATTTCAATGATTGCTTTTCTAAATTTGAACATAAATTAGACTCCTAACAAAGATGTAACGTCAGAAATTCATTATATAAAATCATGATAAATTTCAGCAAAAGCACAATGAACTCAGAGATGCAAGTTTGACTGAAGGAAGAATTAAAACAAGGTGCTTGACATTACAGCAATGGTTCAAATAGACATATTTATAAAATGTAAGTCCAAAATAATCAGGCTAGGCAAGAAGCCTGGGCGTCTGCAGATGAGTACTTTAAGAATCATTGCTCTGTTTTCTTTATTCACTCATACAGCATCTCTGGCTGGGTCAGCATTTATTACTGGAGGGCAGTTAGGAATCAACCACATTGCTGTGGGTCTGGAGTCACATGTAGGCCAGACCAGATAAGGATGACGGTTGTCCTTCCCTAAAGGACATTAGTGAACGAGATGGGTCTTTTTAAACAATCGACAATAGCTTCATGGTCATCTTTAGACCCCTTAATCCCAGACTCTTTATTGAGTTTAAATTCTACCAGCTGCCATGGCAGGATTTGAACCTAGGTACCCAGAACATGAGATAGTAGGAACTGCAGATGCTGGAGAATCCGAGACAACAAGGTGCAGGGCTGGATGAACACAGCAGGCCAAGCAGCATCATAGGAGCAGAGAGGCTGACGTTTCGGGCCTAGACCCTTCATCAGAAAAGGGGGAGGGGAAAGGGGTTCTGAAATAAATAGGGAGAGAGTGGGAGGCGGATAGAAGATGGATAGAGGAGAGGATAGGTGGAGAGGAAACAAACAGATCAAAGAGGCGGGGATGGAGCCAGTAAAGGTGAGTGTAGGTGGGGAGTTAGGAAGGGGATAGGTCAGTCCAGGGAGGATGGACAGGTCAAGGGGGCGGGATGAGGTTGGTCGGTAGGAGATGGAGGTGCAGCTTGAGATGGGAGGAGGGGATAGGTGGGAGGAAGAACAGGTTAGGGAGGCAGGGACGAGCTGGACTGGTTTTGGGATGCGGTAGGGGGAGGGGAGATTTTGAAACTTGTGAAATCCACATTGATACCATTGGGCTGCAGGGTTCCGCCTCCCACTCTCTCCCTATTTATTTCAGAACCCCCTTCCCCTCCCCCTTTTCTGATGAAGGACCCAGAACATGAGCTGAGTTTCTGGATTAATATTCTAGTGACAAAACCACTAAGCCATTGACTGCCCAAACAGATGAGGTGGAGTCACATTAACACTGAGTCGCCAAGGGGGTCAGAGCCGAAGGATACATTTCCAAGGTTTTTAAAATTAATACAAACAGTAAATTCTGAATCAGAATTTGCTTTGATAATGGAGCCCTTTTCCTTCATTAAGATATAGAATTCATAAATGCGCGCACAAAAATCAAGACTTTTGGATCATGCATGGGGAAACCTATCATATGTCTCTTAAAAACTGAGTATACATTCTCCAAGCCTTCTTTCCTCCCAGGATCAAAATATCTTAAATTGTCCAGGTTGTGTCTGGCTAAACTCTGTTATGCTGCCTAATATCCAAGACCCATTTCCACTGAGGTTCTGATCTGTTAATACCAACCAGTTTTAATTCCTTTGACTGGAAAAGTGGCATGAGCTAAAAAGTTAGGATCACTGAACATATCCTCTTCATACACGACAAATCGGAGAAAAGCTAAAGAGGGATCTTGAATGACAAATTCCTCATTAGTGTCTTCTGCTCCTGGCCAAACTGGATTAAGGCCATTATCATCTAGAATACAAAAAAAAACATGATTTAAATAACTTATTATTCACAAGACACTTTCCTCCATATATAAATCTGTATTTCTCTTGGCTCATTTTACACATCACAGAATATTACTTATCACATTTTAGCCTTTTAGCAGCAGTTAAACATAGCACAAAAGCACATAATAATGAACAATGCATTATTGAAGACATATTGCTGCAGTTTAAACCCCTGCCTTTTACTAAATTAAAACTTAGTGCGATTGAGATCTTGTAATTGGATTCACCGTTGCTAAATCTCAACAATCACAGCAAGATGTTTCTACAATTCCACAATCTCTGCACCTTACGAAAACCTGAAAGCCTAAAAAAAAGCCTTACTTTTCTTTTTCAGATTCTGACTGTTATTTTTAATTTGTTCAGAGGACATGAGCATCAATGGCATGGACAGCATTTGTTACCCCTCCCTAATTGCCCTTTAGAGGGTAATAGTGAGTTGCCTTCCTGTACTGTTACAATCCATGTCACCGGATCAAGAAGGGTTACAGCAGAGAGGGAGGTCATTCGACCCATGTACCTGACCTGGCTAGTTAAATAAGCATCCTTAACACGTGCCAATCTCAGCTTTTTTCCCTCATGTTGTAGCACATTACGTTTATCCAAATAATCATCCAATGCTCTTTTCAATGCCTCAGTTGAACCTGCTTCCACAACACTTTCAAGCACTGCATTACATATCCTGACCATTCACTGAATCAAAGGAAGTTTCTCCTCATTTCACCCTTTTGTCTTTTGCAGATCATTTTACATCCATGCCCTCTTATTCTTGTTGCTTTTATAAGCAGGAACAGTACATCTCACTCTCTACTCTATCCAGCCCATGCTTCAATTTGAAAACCTCTGTCAGATCTATTGATCCAATCAGAAGGTGGCAGAAACGTCACTGAGAGGAATTCTGGGAGATGGCACTGCAGTCACCATGACCAGTCTGAATATCTTGGAGGAACTGGTGTCAAGGCTCTTCACAGACCACGTGGTTTGGTTGGAGAAGCAGTTGGACACACTGCGGTGCAGACAGGGGCCAGAGAGTGATAGATTCTAGCTATAGGGAGGTGGTCACACCCCCACAGGTCCAGGCAGATAGGTGGGTGACCGCCAGGAGAGGCAGGCAGGTAGTTCAGGAGTCTCCTGTGGCCATTCCCCATTCAAACAGGTGTACCGTTTTGGATACTGTTGGGGGGGATAGCGTCTCAGGAGATAGTACTACCAGTAGCCAGACCTCTGGCACCACAACTAGTTCTGCTGTAGAGCAGGGTGTGACAAAGTCTAGGTGAGCAATAGTAGTAGGTGACTCAATAGTCAGGGGCATAGATAGGCATTTCTGTGGCTGTGAACGAGACTCTAGGATGCTGTGTTGCCTCCCTGGTGCCAGGGTCCTTGGTGTCTCTGAGTGGTTACAGGACATCCTGAAGCGGGAGGGAAAAGAGCCAGAAATCATTGTCCACATTGGCACAAATGACACAGGTAGGAAGAAGGAAGAGGTCCTGCAAAGACAATTCAGGGAGTTAGATAGGGAGCTAAAATGCAGGACTACCAGGGTAGTAATCTCAGGATTACTATCTGTGCCACGGGCTAGTGAGGCTAGGAACAGAGAGAAAGAATGCAGTTGAACACGTGGCTACAGAGCTGGTCTGGTTAGATATATGGATAATTGGGATACCTTCTGGGGAAGGTGGGACCTGTACAGGAAGGACGGGTTGCACCTGAACTGGAGGGGCACCAATATCCTGGGCGGGAGGTTTGCTAGAGCTCTTCGGGAGGATTTAAACTAGTGTGGCGGGGGTGGAAACTGGAATACTAGGCCAGTAAGTACAGGGACTGGGGACAAAAGTGTGACAGAGATATGCATAGCACAGAGTAAGATCAGGCACAGGGAAGTCATGGGGCTCAGAGTGAGTGGAGGACTGGAGTGCATTTACTTCAATGCAAGAAGTATAGCAGGTAAGTCAGATGAACTAAGAGCATGGATTACTGCCATTTGGATTATGATGTTATTGCCATTACAGAGGCATGGTTAAAGGAGGGGCAGGACTCGCAGCTTAACTTTCCTGGGATATTGCTGTTTCAGATGGGACAGAAAGGGAAACAAAAGGGGTGGGAGAGTTGTGTTGCTGGTTAGGGATCACATCACAGCTGTGTTGAAGGAGGACACATCAGAGGGATCTTGTATTGAGGCATTATGGGTGGAGCTCAGGAATAGGAAGGGTGAAATCACAATGTTGGGAGTTTGCTATAGACCCCCCAACAGCCCACGTGAGACAGAGGAACAGATATGTAGTCAGATACTGGAAAAGTGTGAAAAAAGCAGGGTGGTTGTTGTGGGTGACTTCAACTTTGCTCTTATTGACTCGGACGCCCTTACAGCCAGGGGCTCGGATGGCGAGCAATTTGTTAGTTGTGTCCAAGAGGGCTTTTTGAGGCAGTATGTTGACAATCCAACCAGAAAGGAGGCCGTATTAGACTTGGTCCTAGGGAATGAGCCAGGACAAGTAATTGATGTTTCAGTAGGACAGCATTTTAGGCTTAGTGACCATAACTCCACAGGATTTCGAACAGTCTTGGAAAAGGACACAAGTGGCCCTCGGGTGAGGGTGCTTAATTGGGCAAGAGCCAATTACACCCAAATTAGATAGGAACTGGAGAATGCGAATTGGAAGCAGTTATTTGAGGGCAAATCTACCTCTGGCATGTGGGAGGCTTTTAAAAACCAATTGACTAAAGTGCAGGACATGCATGTCCCTGCAAAATTAAAGGATAGGAATGGCAGGATTCAGGAACCATGGATGACAAGGGAAATTGTAATGTCAGTCAAAAGAAAAAGGGAAGCAGATGACAAGTCTAGGCAGGTACAAACTGATGAAGCCCTGGAGGAGCACACAGAAATTAGGAAGGAACTTAAATATGCAATTAGGAAGGCAAAAAGGGGCCATGAAATGTCTTTAGCAAACAGGGTCAAGGAGAATACTAAGGCTTTTTATGGATATGTTAGGAGAAAGAGGGTACGAGTAGGCCTACTCAAGGATGAAGGAGGGAGGTTATACGTAGAGCCACAGGAATTGGGGGAGATCCTGATTGAGTACTTTGTATCGGTTTTCCCCAAGGAGAAGGACATGACTAATGGAATGAGTGTGTGAGTACTCCAGAGAATGTCAACATATTGAAAGAGGAAGTTTTGGGAATCCTAAGTTGCATTAAGATAGACAAGTTCCCAATGAGCAGATGGGGTCTACCCCAGGTTACTCAGAGAGACAAGGGAGGAAATAGCTGGGGCATTGGCAGATATCTTCACATCCTCGTTGACTGCAGATGAAGTTCCAGAGGACTGGAGATTAGCGAATGTTGTTCCCTTCTTTAAGAAAGGATGCAGGGATAATCCAGGAAACTACAGACCGGTGAGCTTGATGTCTGTGGTGGGGAAGCTCTTGGAGAAGATACTGAGGGACAAGATGTATGCACATTCGGAGAAAAATGGACTAGTTAGTCACAAGCAGCATGGTTTTGTACCGGGAAGGTCATGTCTCACCAACCACATTGAATTTTTTGAAGACGTGACAAAGATAATTGACGAGGGAAGGACTGTGGATGTAGTTTATATGGACTTTAGTCAGGCATTTGATAAAGTCCCACATGGCAGGTTGGTACAAAAACTAAAATCACAAGGGATTCAGGGTGGCCTGGCTTGATGGATAGAAAACTGGCTTGATCATAGAAGACAGAGGGTAGTGGTGGAAGGTTGTTTTTCAGAATGGAGACTAGTAACTAGTGGTGTTCCACAGGGGTCAGTCTTAGGTTGTTAGTTGTTTGTAGTATATATAAATGATCTGGAGGAAAATGTGGGTGGTGTGATAAGCAAGTTTGCTGGTGACACGAAGATTAGTAGAGTTGCTGATAGTGCCAACGATTGTGAAAGTATACAACAGGATATAGATAGATTGGCGGTTTGGGCACAGAAATGGCAAATGGAGTTTAATCCAGACAAATGCGAGGCGATGCATTTGGAGGATCAAATTTAGGTGTGATAATGTAAATGGCAGAACCCTTAGGAACACTAACATTTAGATGGATCTGGGCATGCAGGTCCACAGTTGCCTGAAAGTGGCAACACAGGTGGCCAAGGTAATTAAGAAGGCATATGGCATGCTTGTCTTCATCTCCTGCGGCATGGAGCACAAGAGTTGGCAAAACATGTTGCACGTATATAAAACCCTTGTGAGGCTGCATTTGGAGTATTGTGCGCAGTTTTGATCACCACAGTACCTGAAGGATATGGAAGCTTTGGAGAAAGTATAGAAAAGATTCACCAGGATGTTGCCTGGTCTCCAGGGCATTGACTATGAGGTTAAAGGTTAAAAAGACTAGGATTGTTTTCACTGGAAAGACGGCGGCTGAGAGGAGACCTGACAGAGGTCTACAAAATTATGAGAGGAATAGATAGGGTGGATAGTCAGATGCTTTTTCTCAGGATTAAAGTTTCAATTAGAAGGGGGTACAGGTTCAAGGTCAGAGGGAGAAAGTTTAAGGGAGATGTACGAGGGAAGTTTTTCACACAGTGAGTGGGAGCAGCCTGGAATGTACTACCAGAAGAGGTGGTGGAAGTGGGCACATTGAAGACATTAAGAGGCACCATGATGGGTACATGAGTAGAGAGGGAATAGAGGAATACAGATTGAAAAATGGCAAGTTTGTTTTTAGATTAATCAAGGCATGGTGATCCGCACAGGCTTGGAGGGCCGAAGGGCCTATTCCTGTGTTCCATTTGTTCATCTCCTCTCAGCTTTCTTCTTTCCAATGAGTCCAAATGCTTCAAACTGTCCTCATTACTGAAGTTCTGCATCCCTGGAACTATTCTTGTAAACCACTTCTGCACTCTTTCCAATGAGTTTACATCCTTGTTATAATGTGGTGGCCACAAATGTACACATTACTCCAGCTGAAGTCTGACAAGTATCTTATATAGGTTCAAGATCACCTCTTTTACTCTATTCCCTTCTTAATAAAGACAAGGATGCTACGTGCTTTAGTACCTACTCTTTCTACCTGTCCTGCAGCCTTCAATGATCTGTACATACATACACCCATCTCCCTTTGCTCCTGAGCCCCATTTAGAATTGGACCCCCATTTTATATTTTCTCTCAATGTTCTTCCTAACAAAATGCAACACTTCACATTTCTCTGCATTGAACTTCATCTGCCACTATCAAGTCTGCCAACGTATCTATGTCCTTCTGAAGTACTATACTGTTCTCCTCACAGCTTTCAATTCTTCAAACTTTTGAGATATCTGTAAACTTTGAAATTGTCCCCTGCATTCCAAGATCGAGATCATTATTTTGATCTTAGGGTTTGCTCTGACACTTACTCTAACAGCTCTCCCCCAAATTCACTCTGAGGGCCCTACACATGCCATCACCATACTCTCATCTGATTTCTTTCTCCCTATCCCATTCTAACAGGTCTCACCACCAATCACCTCTGCCCATTACATTTGCGAGCAGTTGAATGAGGTGACAATGGGAGAATGTTTAGAAAGCACAATTGTGACAGTGGTGAAGGGAGTGAATGTTTAAGGTGGTGGAATGGGTGCCAATCATGCAGGTTGCTTTGTCTTGTTTGAGTGCTTGACAACTGCAGCCTCTGGTGCAAACAGAATCATCTGAGGTCGCAGAATATTCCACATCATTTTAAAATAGAACACAATCAGGACTAGTTTGATATGTTACTGAGTGATTTTACTCAAACGTCAATAAAAGACATTCATAGCGAAACTAAAAGAAAAGCAAAAACATCAACAGCTTAATTAGTGAAATAATTTCCACATTGCATGATTTCTTTCACACAAACTTACTTATCACTACTGTTTTGAACTTCTTATTCTCATTCTCAGCTCCACACAATTCCACTTCTACAAAAGGACAAACTATACTCCTGCCAGGTTTGGGTAGATGACGGGCACCAAGAAGCTACAAAAACAATGAGAATGATAAACAAATTATGCAAAAATCCAACAAAGTATATTATAAAATAGGATACATGGGGCTTTTGAGGCACAATGGTAGCATCTCTGCCTCTTAACAGACAGTCTGTGTTCAAGTCCCATCTATGCTGGAGGTTTGTTATAATGTTATCCAGATAGGTTAATTAAAATAGCTATCACATGGGTAACATGCTACGAAATTAAACAGCAAACAAGCCCTCAGATTGATTTTGGTTAATGTGACTTGACTCAGCCAGCTACAAAGGATCAAACTGTAACTGGGCTTTCTGATCTTGATGAGGTTTTAAAAAAAAAGGTCTCGTGGTGCAGTGGCAGCGTCTGTACCACTGGGTCAGCACTGGAGGAAGGGTCACCGGACCCGAAACGTTAACTCTGATTTTTTCTTCACGGATGCTGCCAGACCTCCTGAGCTTTTCCAGCAACTTTGCTTTTTGTTCTTGAGTCCCACCTACCCCGAATATGTTCCAAAACATGATCAAGCAGGTTGACTAAAACAACTACAGCACGAAGGGCCAGAACCACTTAATTTCTGCTGCAAGGAATAAGTTATACATCCACCCAATAACCTTCACCACTTTTGATGGGAGTGCAATTGCTTCCAAGGGCATCTTTAGAAGTAACACAGTTTCACTTGATACATCATATTTTATAACTTTGACTAATGCAACTTCACTTCTTAAGACTGACTCAGGATGAAAAATGATTCCACAGCTTTGGCATCATTATAAGGCATCTTCCAATGTGCAGAAACACTAATGTACTCATGTACTAACATGTAATATTACTCTGCAATCAGAAGACCTCTGTCTATAAGATGACACATGCAGAGCTCTGTCTCATTGATGAAGTTAGTAATGGCAATGCAGGATGACTGTGTAAAATAAGTGAACCATGCATTAAAAATATATCATCTTGAATCACTCCATCCGGGAAGACATATTTGAACATTAAATATTTTGGAACATAGTTTCTAACTATAGTCTGGAATAATAGATTATAAAAAGAGGCTATACAGTTCTTTGAGACAGTATAAGCTTTTCAAATATGCTTTCCAATTAGCCTCACTCTCACTGTTTTTTTATATCCATAATTTTCATGCGTGAGGGTGTCATTAGCTTTTCTCAGTAAAGTTGCACATCCCTAACTGCCCTCAAGAAGATGACTGTCTTTCCCCACCTATTACCCTACAAACTTTAAACCTGCATAAATATTTATGCAATTCACTTTGGAAATTTACTATTGACTTTGCTTGCACCATTCTTGTGATAAATTTGATAATATTTTGCTTAATTTGGCTACTCCAGGACTACTTTATAATGTGTTATAAAAAGAAGAGGAGCAGAATCATAACACCTTAAGTGTGCCATGACTACAGATCAAACTTCCGGGTTGTCTATGGACAAAGTGAACTTTAGTACGAACGTGTGGTTTTCAAAAGGGGACAAAATGACTATGGATGTAAATTCAGTGGCTGTATGGTAGGGAAAGAGAGAGATCCTAGAATGTCACACCTGACAAGGTGACAAGGAAGCTACAAGTGCATGGACTTAAAGGGGGAGAAATACACGTCAAAATGAACAGTAATATCCTAGAACTTATCATAGATTGATGGGAGAAAAGACAATAGTAGTCTGAGCAAGGGGCATGGCTTGAGTCTTCCTCTTTGAAAAATACACAGGAATAGGATTAAATGCAAGTTCAACCCTATGTGGCCTTGTGGAAAAAAGTGGGTTGGTGAGTTGGGGTACTCATATGTACCAGACAGGATACAAGCGCTAAGTCACAGTCAAAGAACCACCAACTGCATGGCAAGTGAATTTTTCTCTTGCTCTGAGTGCAGGAAATCAGCTCACCAGCGAGCCAGTCAAAAGGAAACAGACAAGAAAATTCAACTAAACCTCAAAAGCTCAGAATCTCAAATTTGATTTTTTCATTATCAGCGCTCCACTATCTATTCTTCACGACCAGCCCAGGGACTGAACCATATATCTTTTAACTTGTGTTTTTATCTATTTTTATGTTTAGCGACCAATAAACTAACTCTTTGTTATTGTTAGAAAGCCTAATTGACTCCTTTTAAAATATAAATCTATCTGGTCTAGGAGAATGGTATCCATAAGGAAGAGGATTCTTAGTAAATTAGCCATATCGCAATTAACTGAGGGAGTGAGTGAATAAAGAAAGGGGAGCCAGTTCATGCCTCCTTACCTCAGAGCCTGACAATTTTGGGTATCCTGCCTGGAACTATAGCAATTTGAGGAATCTTACCGGGAGCTGATCGTGCAAGTGCTTGAAGACAAGAGGAAACTTTAACAACATGGAACATCCTTTAGGCTTGAGTGATGCCAGGAGCTAGGTGGTTACTGCTAGGAACAAAAACAGAAGTTGCTGGAAAAGCTCAGCAGGTCTGGCAGCATCTGTGAAGAAAAAAATCAGAGTTAACATTTTGGGTCCTGTGACCCTTCCTCAGAACCAGGGACTTGAAACGTTAACTCTGATTTTTTTCTTCACAGATGCTGCCAGACCTGTTGAGCTTTTCCAGCAACTTCTGTTTTTGTTCCTGATTCACAGCATCCGCAGTTCTTTCAGTTACTGCTAGAACTGGCTGTTTGGCCATCCTAGTTTTTATTCTATTTGTTTGTATGTTATTATTGAATTTTTGAATGACACAAGAGGTCCCAAAGTGGAATCAAATTTCCTTACTTTTATTTTCACAGAATATGGCCGGTGATGCATTGAATTGTCACTCCTCAGAGATTCTGGCTGCAGCACATAACCTGTTCTTCCATTCATAGAAAACAAAGCCTGATTCAATTGCATTGGTTTATCTGTAACAGAAAAAGTGAAAGAGTTTGTTGAATCACATTGCTGGGTACAAAGAAGACACCAAAACCCTGAAAATGTTCTCTCTTAACTACTGGGTGTATTGAAGAGGGCCAACACTATTCCAAAAAAATTAGGCACTTGCCTGGACAGGATCAGGCCTCCCATCAGATTAGGACCCAGTAGGTAGAAATCCCATCCAATCAGAGGCCAGCACTTCTCCAAGACCGGCAGCATCACCGGAAGTGCTGATCATTTCTGGTAGTACACAAGGGCCTACGGGAGGAACTGGAAATGGGTCCCTAGGTAGAGGTTAGTGTGGGTGACCCTGGAGTAACAGAGAGGCAGGCTGAAGAGAAATCAGTTAGAGGAGATGAGGTTCAGAAGCAAGGGATGGCTTTCAGTGGGTCCTTGATCAGGCACAGAGTGCGTATCACTAAATGGGCCCCCCTCAACATTACCATGGTTCCAGTTGGTAGTATCCCACAATGGCGAGTATCTCCTGCAGGTAGATATGTGGAGGTGGCTACTGAAGGGCCTCAATTAACCAGTAGGGAGGAAGGCAGCCTTTTAGCTTTTCCATCTACCGTCTGCTCATGAGGGAGACAGGGAGGCAGTGGGGTTATTATGCTGTCCTCACCTGCCGAAAAGCAGCTGCCTAGAGCCAGGGTGAGTTTGGAGGGGCGAGGGTTACTAAATTCTGGCCTTTTTTTGGAATTTTAAGCATCATGTCCTAATACAATTATATAAAAGTTGTGAAAATTACATAAAACATGGAATGAGAGAAGTTAATTCATGCCATCAATCTCATATGTCATGTCTAATTTACATTCTCATTCAATATTATAATGGAGCTGAGTAATCAAGTAAAACAGTTTAAAATTAAAATTCCTCCTACTTCCCAAGGTAACTAAAAGGAAGATCCAAGCTCTGAAGTTTATACAATACAATTCCAATTAACAAATGGTGATGTGGATGTACTGCATGACTGATATCCCCAAGTATATCTGGCATTACCAATGTATTTCCTAAACTCAATGAGATATATATGATAGAATATTTGACCACAGTTTTTGACCAGAAATTTTGGTTTGCAATTATATAAAAAATATTGCTTTGGTCTCATGTCCATATCACCTCAGAACCTTCATTTTTACTTTCTGCTCTGCATCCACTTTCACTTATTTATTAAATTATATTATTTCTTCAGAGGATATGGTCTTATTCTAACTCATGATTGTATAGTTTCCTCCAATAATTCTAGGTATTTTGCTTCAAAATAATATTTTGTAGGTGTTTGAGTAATGAACAGGGGAGCAGGACTATCGGAGAGCTCTTTCAGAGAGCCAGCAATGGCCCAATGGACCGAATGGCATCCTTTTGGTTGCCTCTGTTCCAGCAGTGCAAATTAAAAAAAAAACAAAAACAGCACAGAAGCTTTTATTTTCAAGGTTTCATTATGGTGAAACAGGTTATTCACATTCAGCGACTTCAAATTAAGATAAACCATGGGTTCTTGTGGTGCAATAGAAGTGTCCCTAAATCTGAGCCAGGAGGCCTGGATTCATGTTCCATCTGCTCCAGAGTTGTACCGCAGCATTTCTGAACAGGTTGATTAGAAAATATCTTCAGGTAATTTATGTCTGTACCCTGGGTCTGGCACCCCAAGTTTTGAAGGTGCTGTCCTGTTCCTTGTAAAATGATATATAACCCAGGTTCAATCCCCATATTGGTTGAGGTTGTTATGAAGGTCCATGCTTAACCTCTCCCCTTGCCTGAGATGTGGTAATCCTCAGGTTAAATCGCCACTAGTCATCTCTCTAATGAGACAGCAGCTCTCTGGGACTATGGTGACTTTATAGCGCAGATTGAAAACCTATTCTGTCATGTTATTGTGTCCATAACAATGCAAGAGTTTAGGTGGCCTTAGGTAAGGGCAGAGGAAGGGCTCTTGTTGTCTAGCTGGTAGTGTCCCTTCTTTTGAGTTTGAAGGTCTGTGCTCAAGTCCCACTTGGTCTAGGGGTGTGCCAGAGTGTAAGCTCCATCTAGAGGTTGTTGTGTACAAAGTCATTTCAGATTTAGGTATCAAAAACTTTTAAGAGCTTCAATCTAAGCGATAAGGATGTCTTGTGGCAAAGTGGACAGCATCTCTATCTCTGAACCAGAGGTTCAGAGTTCAAAGTGCTTGATATCCATGGACAGTCCCATCATAACTAGGCCAGGTTTTCATCCTAGGATTCCTTCCATATGCCTAGGACATGTGTTAAGAGCACAGGAGGCTTCTGGTCGGCTGTTCTTGGTGTGGAGTGGCACCTCTCAAACCATTTAACCTGTGGCTTCATGCTAGTGATGGGTTCCTAGAAATGACAGCTATGGGAACAAATGTAAGTGTTGTCTTCCTCACGCATATCTCTGTAAGTGACATACTCTGGAGACCACTGAATATTTTATCAATACTTTGAAAATGATGTGCAATGGCAAGATGCAAAGCTTATCCTAACAATTAATTATGACGTATTTCTTATATAGTGTATTAGGATTAATATTAGGAAAAGTGGAATTGGGTTAAATTATCAGCCAAGACCTTACTGAATAGTAGAACAAGCTTCTGGACTGCACTGACGATTCCTGCTTCTATATCATATGTTCTTAATCTATGTCAAAATAGGATCTTTGAACAGAACGTTCATAGCACAGAAAGAGGCCATTTGATCCACTGCATCAGTGCTGCTTCTCTGCACACGTAACTCACCTAGTCTCATTCATAATTGAATCTGCCTCCACCACATACTCAAGCAGTGCACTGTATAAAAAAATCATTTCCTCATGTCCCCAGCGCATCTTTTGACTACACCATAAAATGAATGTCCTCTGTTTCTCAATTCTTCTAACAATTAGAATAGTTCTTCTCTATCTGCGTTGTCCAGAATCCTCGCAATTATGAATATTTTTGTAAAATTCTTCCACAACCTTCAATTCTTAAAGGAAACCTGTTCCACTTCTCCAACCTATCCATGTAACTGAAGTTCTTTATCCCTGGAATTATTTTCATGATCATCCTACATTATTGCTAATACCTTCACTTCCTTTCTAAAGTTTGGTGCCCAAAACTAAGCACAATACTCTGGACAGTGAGCCACTGTTTTATACACATTTAACCTAATTTCCTTCCTTTTGTACTCTATGCTCTTAAGTATGAAGCCTTGGCCTGTAGGCAGAAATGCAACTGGAATACTTACATTATACTTTTACATTATTACACGTTTACATTATTTATAGCAATATTTTTGATACATTTTCTCATAGATTTTGGCACAACAAGCACTTAAGCAACATTACTTTTTTGTACTGAGGAGATTCTCTCAAACAATTTAAATTGGTTTTATGCTAATTTATAACTAGGCACGATTTTGTTGGATTATCTGTGCTGCTCCTAAATTACATCAACTGAAATCTTACCTTTATTGCATATCCACATTCCTGCACAAAAGACAGTACATGTGTATTTCCTGCAGTTAGGCATATTCTGATTAAGCATAAGCTTATTATAGGAACATCAGGACCTAAAGTCACTTATTTCTGATGTCCTGTGATTCTTCTTATGAACATGTTCATTGCTTTAATGCCACAACACTTTGGGCTAAAATATCTCAAGTGGTTCATTATAGAAAATAATAAGTACCTGGGGTTTGAAAATTTAGGGCTGCCATTTGGGATCCATGTTGCCAGAGTACAATTGGGTCATAGTTTGAAGAATCAATGCGTTGACCTTTGGGGTAGATTCTGGAGAGTTGCTTGCGGTTATATTCCCGAAACTCTTTTGACCTTTGTTTGAGGATGGTATCGACCTTGTTCTCTGCAAATGATCTGATTTCTTTGTAATCAATATTGTCTTTAGCTGAAAGAGTGATATTACCTTTAGTGAGTAATTGTTAATTTTGATCTTTGTGTTTTATATTTTGACAGCTATAATTCTGTGCAATTAGAGTGTTACAGGATTGGCTAAGCTTTCAATTATAAATTCACTGCAAAAATTCACTATTGTGGCTGGGTTAGTTTAAGATGGTGTGAAACATCAGGTAAACAATTCCCATAGGACAAACAGTTTTGTTTCTGCATAAATGGGAAGGTGAGACATCACTGTTACAAATCTATCAAATAGATTTGGCTGACAACTGCATGGAAAGCAAATTACCATTTGGAAAAAATTCTCGAGACTTTGCTGGTCTGCAATAAACAACTAAGTCAGATAACTCTTTGGCAATCTGCTGTTTTTTCTCCATTTCATTTCGATTCTTCTCCTGTCAAAACAAAGCAGAAATTATTTTTTGTTCCATTCAAAGAAATTTAAAATCTTGTGAAATGTACGCAACTCATTTTACACATTGATCAATCTATTCAGCCACAAAATTATACTATATTTTACATTTTTTAACCATATTGTTCTACAAAATATATGTACCAAATATTGAACTTGTGTTTTTGGACAGAAGAAGCTCTAATGCTTCACGAGTGTCAGTGGTACTAGAAGGTTCATATAGTAATGATTTTATCCCAGTTAGTAACTGTATGTTTCTTTTGTTTTTCTATATTGTGTGTGTCTTTTTTCTTCCAGTTCATCGATACTGACAATCACATCACTAGTTTAACAAGAAATGTAATCTTTGGGATATTGCTTCAGTCAGGGTTTCTGTATTTCAACAGCTACTTACAAAAAGAGAATGCAGAATTAGCAAATTGTTCTTGAGATTCATAAAGATTGCAGCAGCTACTAATTTGCAGGTAAACAGAAAGACCATTTTGCATGCAGCCTAAGATTCCACAAATAGTAATGAGTAGTTTGTTCATGGTGATGATGGACAATGACTAAGCCAACAAAATCTTTTGAATCTTCCTCACTCTTTAATATCAACCTGGACAACTATATGAGACCTTGGCTTAGAACACTGCCTAAAGGATGGCATCAAAATTTTTTCATTGTTGCCATGATTTCAGCCTAGTTTATGCAATTAAGTTCTATTCAAGTGGACATGAAAACCTGACTGAGCACTAACATAGAAATGATAATGGAAAAGTCTCCTCTCATTAATGGCTCAATGGGAAATGCACAGGGTCAAATTTCCAATATGTGCTTCTCACTCAGACTCTCTCTGTCTAAAAATTCTTTTAAGGTCATGGTCACATTTTTGGATAAGGGATCTATGCTGGTGAAGCTCTACATGAGAGCACCTATTCAGAGGCTGACCACTACAGTGTGGTCCTGAGCTAATTCAAGTCAACAAAGGCCTTGGTCCAATCCCAGATCTGTTAAATTCTCAAATTTCATATGCAGAATTAGGAGGGATAAAACAGTGCAGGCTTGAGGAAGTCAGGCTCAAACTGTGTAGTATGCTCATCCGACTGTCCCTGAACAACAATGCTGTGCAGAGAAACATAGAACATAGAACATTACAGCGCAGTACAGGCCCTTCGGCCCTCGATGTTGCGCCGACCTGTGAAACCAATCTGAAGCCCATCTAACCTAAACTATTCCATTATCATCCATATGTTTATCCAATGTCCATTTAAATGCCCTTAAAGTGGGCGAGTCTACTATTTTTGCAGGAAGGGCATTCCACGCCCTTACTACTCTCTGAGTAAAGAACCTACCTCTGACATCTGTCTTATATCTATCACCCCTCAATTTAAAGCTATGTCCCCTCGTGCTAGCCATCACCATCCGAGGAAAAAGGCTCCCACTGTCCACCCTATCTAATCCTCTGATCATCTTGTATGTCTCTATCAAGTCACCTCGTAACCTTCTCTCTAACGAAAACAGCCTCAAAACCCTCAGCCTTTCCTCATAAGACCTTCCCTCCATACCAGGCAACATCCTGGTAAATCTCCTCTGCACCCTTTCCAATGCTTCCACATCCTTCCTATAATGGGGTGACCAGAACTGTACGCAATACTCCAAGTGCGGCCGCACCAGAGTTTTGTACAGCTGCAACATGATCTCATGGCTCCGAAACTCAATCCCTCTACCAATAAAACCTAACATACTGTACGCCTTCTTAACAATGCTATCAACCTGGGTGGCAACTTTCAGTGATCTATGCACATGGACACCGAGATCTTTCTGCTTATCCACACTACCAAGAATCTTACCATTAGCCCAGTACTCTGTATTCCTGTTACTCCTTCCAAAGTGAATCACCTCACACTTTTCCGCATTAAACTCCATTTGCCACCTCTCAGCCCAGCTCTGCAGCTTATCTATGTCCCTCTGTAACCTGCAACATCCTTCCGCACTATCCACAACTCCACCGACTTTGGTGTCATCCGCAAATTTACTAACCCATCCTTCTACGCCCTCATCCAGGTCATTTATAAAAATGACAAACAGCAGTGGCCCCAAAACAGATCCTTGAGGTACACCACTAGTAACTGAACTCCAGGATGAACATTTCCCATCAACCACCACCCTCTGTCTTCTTACAGCTAGCCAATTTCTGATCCAAACCGCTAAATCACCCTCAATCCCATGCCTCTGTATTTTCTGCAATAGCCTACCATGGGGAACCTTATCAAACGCTTTACTGAAATCCATACACACCACATCAACCGCTTTACCCTCATTCACCTGTTTGGTCACCTTCTCGAAGAACTCAATAAGGTTTGTGAGGCACGACCTACCCTTCACAAAACCGTGTTGACTATCCCTAATCAAATTATTCCTTTCTAGATGATTATAAATCCTATCTCTTATAATCCTTTCCAACACTTTACCCACAACCGAAGTAAGGCTCACTGGTCTATAATTACCAGGGTTGTCTCTACTCCCCTTCTTGAACAAGGGGACAACATTTGCTAGTCTCCAGTCTTCTGGCACTATTCCTGAAGACAATGATGACATAAAGATCAAATCCAAAGGCTCTGCAATCTCCTCTCTAGCTTCCCAGAGAATCCTAGGATAAATCCCATCCGGCCCAGGGGACTTATCTATTTTCACACCTTCCAGAATTGCTAACACCTCCTCCTTATGAACCTCAATCCCGTCTAGTCTAATAGACTGTATCTCAGTATTCTCCTCGACTACATTGTCTTTTTCCTGTGTGAATACTGACGAAAAATATTCATTTAGCACCTCTCCTATCTCTTCGGACTCCACGCACAATTTCCCACTACTGTCCTTGACCGGCCCCAATCGTACTCTAGTCATTCTTTTATTCCTGACATACCTATAGAAAGCTTTAGGGTTTTCCTTGTTCCTACCTGCTAAAGACTTCTCATGTCCCCTCCTGGCTCTTCTTAGCTCTCTCTTTAGGTCCTTCCTGGCTAACTTGTAACTCTCAAGCGCCCTCACTGAGCCTTCACGCCTCATCTCTACATAAGCCTCCTTCTTCCTCTTGACAAGAGATTCAACTTCTTTAGTAAACCACGGTTCCCTCGCTCGACCACTTCCTCCCTGCCTGACAGGTACATACTTCTCAAGGACACGCAGTAGCTGTTCCTTGAACAAGCTCCACATTTCAATTGTGCCCAGCCCCTGCAGTTTCCTTCTCCATCCTATGCATCCTAAATCTTGCCTAATCGCCTCATAATTGCCTTTTCCCCAGCTATAACTCTTGCCCTGCTTTATATACCGATCCCTTTCGATCGCTAGAGTAAACGTAACCGAATTGTGGTCACTATCACCTAAGTGCTCTCCTGCCTCCAAATCTAACACCTGGCCTGGTTCATTACCCAGTACCAAATCCAATGTGGCCTCGCCTCTTGTTGGCCTATCTACATACTGTGTCAGGAAACCCTCCTGCACACATTGGACAAAAACTGACCCATCTGAAGTACTCGAACTATAGCGTTTCCAGTCAATATTTGGAAGTTAAAGTCCCCCATAACAACTACCCTGTTACTTTCGCTCCTATCCAGAATCATCTTTGCAATCTTTTCCTCTACATCTCTGGAACTTTTCGGAGGCCTATAGAAAACTCCCAACAGGGTGACCTCTCCTTTCCTGGTTCTAACCTCAGCCCATACTACCTCAGTAGACGAGTTGTCATCAAACGTCCTTTCTGCCACCGTAATACTGTCCTTGACTAACAATGCCATACCTCCCCCTCTTTTACCACCTTCCCTGATCTTACTGAAACATCTAAACCCCGGAACCTGCAACAACCATTCCTGTCCCTGCTCTATCCATGTCTCCGAAATGGCCACAACATCGAAGTCCCAGGTACCAACCCATGCTGCAAGTTCACCCACCTTATTCCGGATGCTCCTGGCATTGAAGTAGACACAGTTCAAACCACCTTCCTGCCTGCTGGTACACTCCTGCGGTAGGGTTGAAACCTTATTTATGACCTCACTACTCTCAACCTCCTGTACACTGGAGCTACAGTTCAGGTTCCCACCCCCCCTGTTGAATTAGTTTAAACCCTCCCGAAGAGCATTAGCAAACTTCCCCCCCAGGATATTGGTACCCCTCTGGTTCAGGTGTAGACCATCCCATTTGTAGAGGTGCCACCTACCCCAGAATGAGCCCCAATTATCCAGGTATCTGAATCCCTCCCTCCTGCACCATCCCTGTAGCCACGTATTCAACTGCTCTCTCTCCCTATTCCTCGCCTCGCCAGCATGTGGCACGGGTAACAAACCAGAGATAACAACTCTGTTTGTTCTAGCTCTAAGCTTCCACCCTAGCTCCTTGAATTTCTGCCTTACGTCCCCATCCCTTTTCCTACCTATGTCGTTGGTGCCTATGTGGACCACGACTTGGGGCTGCTCCCCCTCCCCCTTAAGGATCCCGAAAACACGATCCGAGACATCACGGACCCTGGCACCTGGGAGGCAACACACCAACCGCGAGTCTCTCTCAAGAAGTTATTCTGTAATATTAGGAGTTTGACGTAAAAGATCGATTAGAGTTTTTCAGTGTAGTAAGGGAATACAAGAGGCATAAATTTCAAGGGACACGGAAATTTATGAAATCGAGAAATCCAGAATAGGATTTGTATGCTAGTTCAAAGTAGTAAAAAATCTTGGCTTTTCACTGTTATGAGGCTGTGGGAGGAAGCAAGCTCCAGGTGTTCACCTCTCCTGTGAAACATGAAACTGATAGCATTGTGGGCAAATTAAGAGTCTGTTCTCAAATTAGTTTTTATGTTAATTATTATGGAGGCAACTGGAGTTTAGCAGCTGTTAGGTTTTATATCAGTGGGTGTGAGCTATGGATTGGAGGCAAAAAGAGATTAAAAGGTAAATAAAACAGTTTTGCCTCCTTCACGGATCATCATGAAATGTATCATGTTCATTAAGGTGA